CTGAAATTTGGCATACAGATAGCTATTATGATGTAGACGTGTGCTAAGAAAGGATTTTTCGAAATTCGCATTTTAAATAGGTGCTCAAACAGGGACATTGAGATTCAAGATGGAAATTGGAAATTTTATTTTTATTTATTAATAGTTGCCATTGGTTACAGTCTACATTAGAAATTAGCATTTATTTATTGGTTGCCATTGGTTATTCGGGCAGATCAGGTACAAGTTTGCATCAAATCAAATTATTGAACATTGCCTACCAGGGTGAGCTGCACTTACCTACCCCAGCAAGTTACGCCCAAAAGGAGTTCAACAATCATAATTTTTTTAAGAGTTGTGATTTTTTACGAGCAACCAAATTTGTTATATTAATTCACCGTATTATATCAAAATAAACTTGATATAACTTTGATAATTTAGAGTTAAATCATACACTTCCGTACAAACAGCACGGGGTCCGCAGGTAGATTGCCTACCTGATAGTGTACTGCTGCGATTCAGAATTTTTATTCCGGGCAACGGAAAAGATAAGATAAATTTTGAACACCATACACCGAATATTGAATAACGAATTGAACAAAGTTTGAGTCATAACTCATATTGAGTTGATACATTTAAAGGGCGACGAAGTGCACGGGATCAGCTAGTATTATATATTATAATCGGGCCATACTAATTAATATGAATAATTAATGATCGATTATTATTTATTTTTATTATTATTATTTGTATTCACTCACAAATCTATTGTCTGGATAAAAACAATACTACAAACAATTATCCGAATAAAATTGTCGAATAAAAATATTAAAAAAATAATAAAACTATCAATAATAAATAATTCCGGATACTTCTTCTCATTTTTTAAATTAATTAATATTTCTTTCTTTCTTTTTCACTCACTCACGTGTACCATTCAAAAGAAGTTTAACTTCCCGCGCGCGTACTGGTAACACACATGGTTATTCATTTTTTATTAATTAGTTTATTTTTTTCTGGAAAGATTGCGCCACTGTTGTATTTTTGACATCCACATTTCCTACTTTTCTGGTGGATTTTTCTAAACAAAAGTGGTACTATGACCTCCAGCATACTGTCAAGTATAATAGTAAAAATTTCAGCCAAATCGGTTCAGTAGTTTTCTCGGTTAGCGCGGTCCAAAAAAACCCTTACCATTTTATGTAATAGTATAGATTGTAGATAGTCGACTGGCGTTCGCATGTTCTCGCTTACGATGTGGATTAGGACTACAGGGGACACCACAATAAAATAAAAAAGGTGGGCAAGTGGGTATCGCGCTGCTGTACAGTAGGTTACAAGTGGGTCACTGTATAATGGATGATATTAAATTTGAATTCAACGATATAATATCATTGAATAAGAAAAACGATTCTGGGCGGAGACGGTATGTCAGTCTAGGTATAAGACATATTATATACATTATACATATCTATGGTACTAAACCAAAATTTGACCTATAATAGGTACCTATAATAAATTCCAAAATTAATGATATCACAATACCCATTAGGTCCTTATAAACGCGTTATACATCAACAAAAACCGTGATACTATCATAGATGTATAATAGTACACTTTAGAAGTTTCAAGTACCCACGAATAATATTATTCAATCACAACAAAATAACAAAAATAGTTATTCTAGGTTTTTTAATATGTAATTTCGTCCAAATTTGAATTTATAATGTCTGTAAAAAATAACTGTGTTCATATATTTTTTATATTTTTTGGTTACAGTATGAACTATTTATGAGAACCTTTGTTTTAAATTTGCAATCCTTAGTTATAAGAACTGAACATTTTATAATTTATTAATTACAATGATTGATAATTTTCGAGATTTTGATAAATGTTGTCAAAATTCGATCTTTAAATGCTTATAAAAAAACTGTGCCTATGTATTTTTAATATTTTTCAACTGGTATTGTAACAATATATCAGGAGCCTCGGTCATTTGTTTTAAAGTTACACCAAAAACCAAATTCAATTTTCTGAAAAATCGATTTTGCCTAAAAATTCCCGTTTTTAAATAGATATCTATATCATAATTATATAATAGTACACTTTAGAAGTTTCAAGTAGGTACCCACGAATAATATTATATAATCACAACAAAATAACTAGGTTTTTTAATATGTAATTTCGTCCAAATTTGAACATAAAATGACTATAAAAATAAACTGTGATTGTATATTTTTTAGATTTTTCGGTAAGAGAATTAACTACTTACGTGGAATCTTGTTTTAAATTTTTAATCCTTAGCTATAAAAACTGAACATTTTATAATTTATTAATTACGATGGTTAATAATTTTCGAGATTTTGAAAAATTCTGTCAAAATTTGATGTTTAAATGCTTATAAAAAAAAATTGTGACTATGCATTTTTAATATTTTTCAACTGATATTGTAACAATATATCAGGAGCCTTGTATTAAATTTTTACACTTTTTGACCCAACAGATAAAACTTAATTGATATTTATAGCAAAAAAAACTAAAAAAATTGAAAAAAAAAAATATCCGTAAACAGCTCAAAAAGAGTCAAAATATTTTCAAAATTGTATATGGTGTATAGGAAATACTAATATAAACATTCAGTGAAATTTTCATGTAGATATAGATATAGTTATTCGTTTATGAATAACAACAAAATAAGGAAATCGCTACATGAGAAATCGAGTGCACATCCATTGTTGTAAAAATTTGAATTTCGAACTCTCATAAAAATTTAATTTGACTGTCCGGTAGAGATTTTTTTATTGATAAAGGTAGACAAACTTATGAGTAATCTTGTATTACATTTTCAAATCTTAGATTTAAAAAGAAAAATTTTTACGAATTCTTAACTCAAAATAATTAGCTAATGTTTTCCTTAATTTTTCTTTTGTTTTTCTTGGCGCTTTTGAAAAGTACTGGGAATTTTAAATTTTGACCCCCCCATGCACCAACGATATTCACTTTCCAATCGAACAAGATACTGAAATTGAAAATCGAAGCATTATTTCGACTACTTATCGTGTACAAGGACACAAAAATAAAAAAAAATATATAAAAACACACATCATTGTAAAATCAATACATTCATTGTTCCACTCAGAATCGAAAAACGCGCCACGTGTAATACCTCATCATGTTTTAAAACAACATGGGCGATAAGATATATTATGTTGTTTAACAAGCATACTGGGTGGTGTGGAAACTTACGGCACACTACTGCAATCATCCTATACATCGAGTACTTACATTCAAGTAATATAATATGGTGACCATATTTAAAAAAATAAAGTACAGGACAAAAATATTATCATATTGCTATATTTTAATAATTTAATATCTATATAATATTTTATATTTTTAAATTAAAAAGTATTTATTATATATTTTTGTTGTCCAATAAGATAACGCTTGTGAACGACATAGATATATTATTATTTATTAGGCTTTTATTAATATTTATTTATTTCGCAATATGCTCACATTTGATTACGAACTAGTCGCGCCGGTCGGTAAATATACGTCTGGTTTACGTCGCCGACAACAATGTGATGCAACAATAATAATGGTAAAAACTAAAATACAATTGAAAAGTATAGATTTTTATATTATTCTATTCAATAATGTAATTTTAATTTCAAAAATTATATACATTAACAATAAGGCAAAAAACGGGATTAATATGGGACAGACTTGACATTACGGGACAAAAAGCATCCTGAGAGAAATTTGTCAGGACAACAGGACATACAAAGCCGAAATAAAGGACAATCCTGTTCCCGTGTAAAACAGGACGTATGGTCACCCTAAATTACCTAATATAGATAACACAAATAATAATAAGATAAAAAAAACCCGTATAACATTAAACCGCTGTAGAGATTAAAGAAATATACTTTGGGAGCGATCAAGGATTAATATTAATCAGTGGGAGCGATACAGATCACAGATCACAGAAATCACAGTGTGCCTTTTGTAATACTCGTAAGTCGTAGGTACCTATGTTAAAAACAAATACTTTTGTAATAAATGATAGTTATGATACCTATTGGCTATTACATGTATTATATTCAATAACCAATACATTTCAATAACAAATTATAAACAAAGAAACAATATAAACGCGCTCACATTCAATTATTCAAAGGCAGTCTTTAATCCTGTCAATGATTAAGAGAAAATGTCGTTGTTCTGCATTCAAAGTTATTTCGTCAACCGATATAGTATAATATTACATATTAATATATTATGACTATTGTTACACAAATAAGACGTAATAACTTCGTAGTACGTATTTGTGACGTCCTGTTCTCAGGGCCCACTCAAAGGGGGACGAGGTATGCCCGGCACCAGGCCCCGCGCGCTTCCAAAAGCCAAGCGCCTTACGTAGTATGCATATTGTACGATTATAATCTAGACGTATTAGGTGTGAGTGTGTGTCGTTGTAACTATTATGAATTTATATGGTATGATTTGTTTAATATGGGTACCTAATTTAGAATGGTAGGTATTGTAATTATGGCATTTGTATAGCTTATGAAATATGCTGTACTATGGTAAAGTGAGCGCATATGATGCATAGAACGATCGGTTATACGACCAACACCTTTATTAACAGATAAGTTATTAGCTCAAGACTCAAGAGGTGAGTGTATTTACTAGGTATTGTTATTTGTTTAATTGTTTCGCCCTTTAATTAATAATTATTTTCAGTCGTAAGTCATAACCACCATTGGGCATTAATTCTTGATGTTTCATTTGTGTCTTGTGAATTGTGATATCACAGAATAGAGAAATAGATATCATGGTCGGTGATAACGATGGCGCTGATAACAGCAAGTCGAAATACTCGATTAGAATGATAATTCAATAATTGATATTAGATCATTGATTGACATTCGTCCATCCATTCGTGTCGTCGTCGTTCCGTGTTCGAGGCCAGGCATCTGGCATTTCAAAACTTTTCACCCCTCCCCCCTACAACCATGTACGACCCGCCGCCGGAACCTCCCTCCGAGTCGGACTGCTGCGGTACCGGATGCGCGGACTGCGTGTTCGACGTGTACGACCGAGAGTGCGCGCGGTGGCGACGTCGGCAGACCGGTGGCGAGGGTGACCGGCTGCGGCGGGATCTGCTGTCGGCGACCACGCACAAGCCGTACCGGATCGTGTCCGCGCGGCCGCTCGGCGACGACGTACACGCGTACACGTTCGCGGCCACCCCGACGGCCGTCGGCCAGCTACCGGTCGCGTACAGTCAGCACGTTCACATCCGGCTGGCCGACGGCCTCAGCAGACCGTACACGCCGGTGGCCGTGGGCGACGACGATTGCTCGTTCGGCGTCCTGATCAAGGCCTACCCCGGCGGAAGGTTCACCGGGCGGCTGTTGGAAATGGCCGTGGACGACGTGGTCGAGGTGCGCGGGCCTTCGGGCGGCGTGCGGCACGACGGGTACGATTCGATAGTCATGTTCGGCGGTGGTACTGGCGTGGCCGGCTTCGTGGGTCTAATCGGGTCGCTGTTGGACGACAACAAGTGCGAGACGTTGCTGAGACTGCATTACTCGTGCAAAACCCTTGACGGGGTGCTGATGCGCAAGGAGTTGGCCGGGTACGCGGCTTATTGGAATTGCGCGGTACATTTGTACTTGACGAGGGAACGCGATTGGTCGCGATGTTCGAAATCGTTTTGGTACAATGAAAATATAACAGAAGGAAGAATTTCGCAAGACTGCATGTCTGAAATAATCGATAAACAACAAGATTTGCGAACGCTATGGCTCATTTGTGGAAACGATGATTTCAATCAATATATTTTCAACTCTTTACAAAATAAAAATATTAAACAAGACCATATTCAATTATTAGATAATACTATACAATATTTAAAAGTACCTTGACATTACATAATATATGATCAGGCATCCTACAATCTCAAACAAATTACAAATTGTTAAAATGTAATGCTAAGCATTTAAAATAAGAATTTTAATTTTCGTTTGAATATAAACAATATATGTAAATTAAATTTTTTACTACCAGCGACAAAAAACATTTTTTTTTTTTGGTTACCGTTTTAGTTGACGACTGCCAAGAAAGTATTTTCTTGCCACTCCCACCATATTTTTATTTTTTGAATAATGTAGTCACATTGGGTGACCTCCCGTCGATCAAACCACATCAAATTTACGTATTGTAAAACTTGTAAATACAGATTGTAAATATAAATTTTTGTTCAATAAAAATAAAAAAAATGTAGTTTAAACTTTTTTGTTTATAATATCTTCAATATATTCTGTGAATATTTATTATAATAACCATTATTACTTTTATATTTATAAATAAAATTTGATACTTCCAATTATTAGTAAATTATGATTTTTTTTATAAAATCAATCTTTCCAAAATATTAAATAGAATTAAATATTTTATATAATTTGAGTTGAGGAAAAAAATTAATTCAACGTAGCAATAAAACTATTTATAAATTATAAGAACATATAAAATTTGAGAGTATAAACTATAAGTGGCAGACATCAACTTAACCAGCGGTGGCTGGCGTTAGAATATTTTCTTGGCGGGCATCAACTAAACCAGTACCAATCACTGCGAACTTTAAGTTTGTAGGTGTGCTAATAAATTGGTAATACTAATATTTTTATTCATAATCATGTCTTTTTTTCATTATAATTCAGTGAGCTGGTATAGAAGAATTCAAGTATAGACACCTTGCAATAGCAAATAATGTATATGAATTGATTAGGGCATACCTCTACAAATCTTCATGTTGTATGAAAAAAATTGCAAGCGTTACAGGCTTACAGTAAAGAATGTGTAAGATTCCAAAAATACTTGTACATAAGTTCAAAGGTAAATTTAACAGTTGTAATGAACGTTTTTTTAAAATAAATTATAAAATAATAAAAACTCAATACAAATCACTTGTTAGTTCTCCTTCTCACCCACAAATTCTTTAATAGAGTTATTTAACTCATATTTAATTAAAATTTGTTGAATTTCCTTGTTTTATGTAACTCAGGCTGACTGTAAAACATAATACAAATATACAATCAACAAGCAAGTGGTGACATATTTAACGTTATCTTCATATTACTATGCATAATAATATAAATTGTAATATTATTTATTCTTTAGGTACAATTAAAACATAATATTTTTATTAATATAATATTTTATTATTTTATTTCATTAAATAAATAAAATAATCAATGTAAACAAATAATTTTTTGGGAATTAAAAAAAAAAAAATTTAATCTCAAATATTATATTAGACATTATTTTATTTAACAACAACAGTAATTCAACTGGGTATTAGTTTTCACTAAAATTAAAAATATAATATAGATAATATAGAAAATATACATATATAAATATTTATATATACATATATATGCTTATACTTAATTAAAATGATCAGTAAGTGACTCAAATATTTTGTTACACATGATTAACACATTATCTACTTTTTAAATTTTTCTCACATAAACTTTTACATAACAATTTCACTTTATGAGTAATTTACATGTTCACAAAGAAGTAGTAACACAATACTCAAATTAAATACTACTACATAAAAGCTGCGATTTCGTCAAAAATGAAAAGAAATTAATATTTGTAATAATAACTCAATTTTGATTACCTACTTAATGATCTAGGTAAATATGTATAGTAAAAAACACTTATAAGCAAAGCTGCTTTAACAATAGTTTTGTTGGTATCAAGTGTGATATTTCATGAGTCATTATTTTCAACAATTAATATATTTGTCTACGGACAGATCACAAGTTTTCTTCGATAACTTTGTTTAACTGTTAATAATTTTCACTTAATGTTATTACTATATTTCGTTACACATCATCGTCAGATTCCATATATTGCTGATGACCTCGCATGGATCTTTTCTCATGTCAGAATATAGGAGGTTCATCTCTGTATCGTCTGTCTCTATACCTATCCAAATGAGCATCATATGCACGTTCTGCTTCTAACCAATCCTGGTATTTATACCACCATTCTTCCCACTTGACATAATCATTTAATGTAAGATCACCTAAATACCCTTGATCTTTATAATAAGCATAACGACCTTTCACATCTTCAATAGATGTACCCTCTGGTAATGACCTAATAAAAAAATTCATGGTTAATTTTAGTAATCAAATGGTTTTTTCTAATATTATTTACCCTAAAGCTGGAGTAGGAAATGGATGAGGAGGTGAACCAATTTCAACTCTAAAATCATCACCAGCTGTCACACGAAGACTCCTTTGTGGTAACTCATGGCCCCGACCCATTTGAGCCACCTTACTAAAACGCTCAGATAATGTTAATTGACCTCCAGAAGAAGAACTCATTGGCATATCTGAACCACCAATACTAGATTCTTCATCCGACATTGATTCTACTTTAATCGTTGGTTGATGTAAAACAGCCTGAAAAGATTAACAGTCATTTAGAACTTTAATATACAATTTAATATTAAAACAATTTATGCATACAGTTTCGATTTGTGAAGATTTTGATCTATGTGATTTTTTCTTTTTGTGCGATTTCACTTTTTTAATACGTTTAGTTTTTGTTGGTACAGATTCTGGAAGTGGACCAGCCTTAGGTAATCCAGTAGTAGAACTTACTTCTACTACGGGTGTGTACCTTGGTACTGAAAATGATCTGGATCTAAAATATAATTAAAATATTAACAACTCAAAAAATTACAAAAGTTATTAATTACCTAGAGCGTTCATGTATGGGTATAACAGGTCTGGACATTTTAGGAGATTTTGGCCTAGCTAATGGTTCTGGTGGTGGCTCACGTCTAGCAGCAGGTATTCTAGCTTCACATACTGAACAATGAGAATCTGAACATGTACTTACACTTGATGAACGTACCTAAAATATTAATTAATAATTATACAGCCATAAAAAATAGTTAGTCTTATAAAATTAAAAATATACCTCCTCGGCTGATGATGTTCGAATACGTTTAAGACCATGTTTTTTAGACCCTCTTCTTTTAGATGGAGGTGAAGCTATTCCTATTCTACGATTGCGACCAAGTATAGGAGATCTACGTCTTCTACTTAATGATCTGGACCGCCTGATACGTGAACCATTGGCTGGTGGTGACTCTGAAGTGGATCTACGTCTTCTTCTAGAATGTAAAGTTAAAGGAGACTTTCTTGCTCGGTATGGTGAACGGCGTCTATTTAATGGAGACCCCCTTCGAAGTGATATCGATCGACGTGATCTTCTTAAATCAGGAGACCGTGAAAGTGGTTTACGTCGTTTATGGGATGGAGACCTACGCATAGACGAACGCGAACAACTAGAAGAAAAGCTACTAGATGAACGTCTACTGATTGACCTGGATCTTCGATCACTATACATTTCTTTGAAACCAGAATGTTTCCACCTTAAACAAAAATGTATACTTAAATAAGTGATATGCATATGTGTATGGCTCCTAAATTAAACATTACATAATATTATATTTATTTTTGAATAACATAATACTATGAGAATTACAAAAGAATATTTTTCAAAAATGGAATGACTACACTAAAATAATATTTAATCATTTCTAGTTTGTTAACAACTTTTTATAACATCTTAAGGAACAAGAAAAAGTGTAGAGCAGTGATTGTCAACCTGGGTGTTCAATTTGTTGATGTATTATATATAAAACTGAGATAGAACATTTATATAAATAAAATATTGGGAATCAGGGACGTATCAATACTTCTTTCTAAATATTATAAGAACGCACCGGGCAGAGACTGGTTCCTGACCAGCATTTTCCACAAAGGCATAGGTAGTAACCGGTGGAAGGAAAAAAAAGTGCGCGAAACCGGTTTAGAATATATTCCAGGATTTAAAAAAACATGTCTGGTCGGCTTATGTGAAATACGCCTTATAGAACGATAAGATGCGGTAAAGGTTTTTTTTGAGCATTTTAAACAAATTGAAAGTAGTCTGCAAAATATCCAAGAAACAGATCGTGGAATTTCAACAAAAGATTATTCACTTTTGGCAGCTGTAGAAAAAATTGTTTTGTGATTTCATTAATTGCCTGTGAAAACCTATTAAGGTTCACTCTTCCATTGTCATATTATTATTTGCAAAATACAAAGCGTAATCTTTCATCTGCAGTTGATTATGCTAGCGATAGTATAAGGAAGCAGAAACATATGAGACAAAACTCAAACGAATCGTTTTCACTTATCTTTTAAGAGGTTAGAATATTATCTAAAATGTATTTTGATATTGAAATAAAAAAAAAATTTCTAGTTCTACGAATAAAAAAAAAACTATAGAGATAATTATTCTTGTAATTTGCCAGAAGAATTTTATAAATTGTCTATATTTTTATCATGTTTAGATAATTTTATTTTACAATTGGAAAATTGGTTAGAATAAAAATACCAAATAACAGTATTTCATCAATAGAAATATTGTTACCAAATTAAGCATTAAAAAAAACGTCAACAAATTAAAACTCTTGCTACTTATTTTGAAGATAACATTTCTAAAAAATATGTAGCAAGTCAGTATTTACTTTGATGTGAAAAGTGAAAAAATATTGAAGAAACCTCTACTGACCTTATGGCAATTTTAGGCGTGATTCAACCTTTTATCCGAATATTAACTATCTGTTAAGAGTTTTGCAACCTTCCTAATATATACAACCGAAGCAGTGTTAATTTTCAACTTAAAAAAGAGTAAAAACCCTACTTCAAAATAAAATTAGAAATTAACGTTTAACAGGGCTGACTTCTATCTGTTCATTGGGAAATATCTATTTCACCAAAATACGTGACAAAAACAAAGATAATAAAATATAAGTATACGTCTATACCTATATTAGACCTACAGTTAAGAGGACGCCACACCTGCATGTGTTATCTCTGTCTTACAAATGCGTAACATACCAAATTTTTGAACAGAAATTCAAGTTATATGCCGTTAGCTTAAAAATTAGAGTGAATCGACCTATAATAAAACTTGGTAAGAACATTATCTGTATTTTGTTGGAAGGTTTTTTACGATAATTCAGTTTTTCAGTGAGTTATAGCGTGTATAATAAATGTAAATTAAGAGGATGCAGTGCACTCTTTGTTTTCTCTCTCTGGCCCAAGAGTAACATAGACAAAACACATTTACGCAGAATCATTTTTCTATGTTTTTAAGTTATGTTAGAGTAAAATAACCTATTGCAAAAAAGATAGAGAATAATATTTTTGAGGGAATGATATATCGATTTGTCTTAATATTATCTCAAAACAATTTAAACTTACAACATTTTTTTATTTATTTTGAAAGTCGAATACAAAGTCAAATAAAAATAAAATATAAAACCAATATATCAAACCCTCAAAAATATTATCCTCTATAATTTTTGTAAAGGTTAATTTACTCAACATTCATAAAAATTATTTTAGGTGAAAGTGTATTATCTATGATGCGTGTGGGTCTAATAGCGTTTTCCACCACACCACACTGACTGCACATTTTTATGTTCCATCAGCAAAATGAATGTGCACTGAGTGGACTTTCTTTATGTTTCACCTCAATGCACTATGCCAGTTTTTTGCACTCAGTGCAGTGATAGTCACCACAGTACCCATCAAATATTTTATTATCTTTATATATCGGTGATATGTATTGATTTTGTGTTTCATCTACACTTGCATCAGCCTGCACCCAGGACGATTATCAGTGACCTATATCAGTGCAACCTGGGTGCAACGCTATAAGAGAAAACAAATAATGCACTAACATCCTATTAATTATACTTATTATACCTTTATTATTATTTTATACCTACATTTATTAAATAACAAACAATTTGTTTTTATATTCATAGTATATCTTCAATATATCATACCAAATTTGTTTTTTGTTAAAATAAAAAAAAATTTGAAAATTAAAATTCTTTTTTAATTGACCTTCCCCCAAAAGTAAAATCCTGACTACATCCCTGTTGATAATTTATTTATCTATAAGATTTAGAAACAATGATATAAAATTAACTCAATCAAAAAAAGGCTCGAAAAAAGGAGACAAAATTAAAGAAATACCATATACTTTCAGTTGAACATATTTTACTTTCTTGTTTACTGGGTAAAACTAAGTATATTTAAGGTATGTAATACATGGTATATTGTAAAACTTTTTAGCATACCTGTTCGGATCTTTTTCTTCAGCTTCTAAAACTTTGTTAATCCAATACTGGCTTTGATCTCTGTCTTTCCGAGCCCTCTTAACAACATTTTCCAGCTCTCTTCTTGGTGATTCTAGAGTTAATAATAATAGGTACAATTATAAAATATATTTAAATTTTAAAATCTATGAATTTTAAAATACCTTTAGATCTGGCACGACTTGACGAAGCTCTCTTATCATTTCTATGCCTTTCATTTCTAGACATGTTCAATCCTATAAAACATTAAATAATACCATATTATAAAATATTTAAAATAGTAAGTAAATGTTATCAATATATTTTCACATGTAACACAAGGCCATTAAATAATATCATTATATGTAATTGATCAATTTTTGACGTACTTCATACCATTAGTCGAGCTGTCAGAATTACTTGGATTCATATACGTCCAGATGATGAGTTGCGACTCATAAATGAAAACACGGGACGAAAGGAATTCAATGGATTTTGATAAAATAGGAAAATGATAAGTACTCAGTTATTATTCTTTTTAATGTTAAACTTGAAAGCAATTAAAAAATATTTAGGTATGTATTTAGTTTAATTTATGTAGAAAATATTAATTTAGGCTACATTTTAGTATTTATTATATGTAATTAGTACTTTTCAAAAACTCTCAATATTGAAACTATTAGTTCTAGGTACAACAACAATAATTTTATGCTAACAATTAAACAATGTCAAGTATTAAAAAAATGTTTTCATGATTTAGACTAAAAAATTCCAGCAATAGGTATTTAACAAGGTAAATATAAAATATGGATAGTTAAATAGTTTGTTAAAACACTATTATAGTAAATTTAATTTATATTTAAAAAAAAGAAGGAAAATGAATCATATAAACAAACTATTGAAAATGGGTGTACCTAGGTGCCTCCTCTTATTAAATTACAATTGAATGTACATCTTTGAGTAGTAAGAACATATAAATACCGGCAACAGATAATAATACAGATTGCTGTATAAGATTAAAAATATAAATTGCAATATGCTTATAACATTGAGTTAGGTGATTATTCAAGAAATGGTAAAAGAAAAGCAAACAGATAATGAATACATTTTAAGATGGTTGGATACAAATGAGCAAAACGGTTTGCTAAAGCTTAAATATAAATAACACTAGCAGCATTACATAATATGCAATTGAGGTCTGCAAGTAAAAGCATTGAACACGTCGGACGTAGTACGAATGAGAATTAACGAGAAGCTACCCGAACGCTTCGGCAAGCGAAATATCCACTAGAGATTCGCGACGACCGGACGGCAAACGGATATAATACCGACGAACGGCCCCCGGCAATACGCGCCGGTCGGAGGCTCGGTGTACATAGCGTCGCGCAATCATAATACAATAACCGGACGGAAGCGACTTGCGGTCAGCTCGACGGATTCGATAACTTAACATTCTACGTGCACGCCTCTTAACAAAGTACGTGTTTTTTTATTTTTATTATTACAATAACATTAAAACTTAGATTGAAAAATTAAAAATAAAATCATTTCAGCCATTCCAGATTGCCAACAAAATACATACTTATTGAACCAACGAACGTGTCACTTTTTAACTTTTAATTTTACGAATTTAGATTTTCACACACAACACCAAACAGATGAGAACTCCAGTCGAACTCGAAAAGTGCATTCACAATCCCGCAGGAATGTGATTGATGTATAACCGACCGAGCTTTTTTTTCACATCAAAAGCGTCTTCGAAACGATAATGATTTACATAACAGTAACAGGCAGCAGCTACATAAAAAAAATCACAAGCCCAGCAATAACTAATAAGAAAAAAATAAAATAAAAACATCGACCCCAGTACAGGCTGTCTCAGACGAGAACTACAGACTGTACAGTGTCGCCACCGCCGACCGTAATCAGCTGCTGAAGAGTAATAATATTATTCTAGTGGTACGTTCTGTGGTTGTACCCATAGGAGTTTTGCTTGTTCTATGCATAGATAATATAATATGTATTATCAGTATAGGCAGCCCACGATGTAGAGAAGAAATCTTCCGTTGGGTGTCAACTTATCTAAGGTATCTACCCTAAGTAGGGCACTATAGATGCTAGGTATGCTACGCCGTCATGTTGCGACTAATAATGTTATATGAATATGAATTTTTCCCCCTTTATTTTATCATTGATAAATGAGTCGCAAAATGGTGGCACAGCAAACCTATTATAATATGTAGAGCCTTACCCTCTTATAGACGTGCACACGGGGCGAGCCGGTCAAGCCAGGCTCGACCTGAAACTTTTTAGGGGCATAGTAAAATGTGCGTACATATTTCAATATTTCATTATAATGTTTGTAATATAATAATATTATGTTCGTGGAGATCATGACAATTTTGTTTGTTGTGAAAGTATAAAAAAGTCAAAAATATTTGTCTGCATCTACCTAACCCAATCACTACATACATTTTATAAATCTAAAAAAAAAACATTATACCTTTATACAAATACAATAACTATAGTACTATAGACATTAATAGGTTAATACATCAACATGTATTTTGGTGTGTTAAAAAAAAAATATTGGAGCTGTCCAAATATTAGGGCACTATAATTGTCGAGGCTCGACCAGAAATTTAAGTCTGCGCAAGCCTATACTCAGTTTTCTACATCGTGAGGTAGCCATAAGTTCAGCCATTGATTAAAAATACTATAAATACCATAGTTAGTATTTATATACAAATGTCAAATATACAATGGTTCAGATAACGGTCTTTTTCCTTATAAAATACAGTGGTTCAGGTTGCAACCTAAATAATATTATAATGAACCGTGAATTATACAGGGTGATTTTTTTATCGAAGAACACTCATTATTTCAAAAAGTATTAATGTTTAAGAAAATATTTTTTTACATGGTTTCAAGTTGTTAAAAAACAATATTTTTATTAAAAAATTATATTTTTAAATATTTTTTATCCTTTTAATTTTTTAAGTTTTTTACTTTTTTGAATGACAACATGTAATTTTAATTTGATATTCAAAAACAGAATATTTTTCTGAGTATTTCGATACATAAAAATTGAATTTAGGGCAATTAGTTTATGAGTTATAAGTATTTAAAGTTTAGATGAGTGGAGTAGAGTGGTACGGGGTTACCTCCGCTCATCTAAACTTTAAATACTTATAACTCATAAACTACTTGCCCTAAATTCAATTTTTATGTATTAAAATAATCAGAAAAATATTCTGTTTTTGAATATCAAATTAAAATTAGATGTTGTCATTAAAAAAAGTAAAAAACTTAAAAAATTAAAAGGATAAAAAATATTTAAAAATATAATTTTTTAATAAAAATATTGTTTTTTAACAACTTGAAACCATGTAAAAAAATATTTTCTTAAACATTAATACTTTTTGAAATAATGAGTGTTCTTCGATAAAAAAATCACCCTGTAGTACCTATTATACCTATATTATATTATTGTTATGTTATAATATTCTTCTGTGATTATAATGATTATATTATTATTTATTATGAGAACAGGATTTCATTATTACTTACCTATTGGCTATTATTATTATTATTATTTGTAACTATATCTTTATTCATCATCATCGCATAATCGCCAATTGTCCAGTGGTAAATAGTCACTTGTCAATGGGTGGAACTAGGATCTAATATTTACAGGAGTCCTAAAAAAGCCAAAGTTCAAAATATGTCGTGGGAGGGAAGTCTGCACACCAATCATCATGAGCGTCACTAGAATTAAGTAGACGGGAGGGAGTCATGTAAAATTAAACTTGAAAATAATATAACCATAGGATAAAGTTTAATTTACCACGCTCCTCGGAAAATTAAAAAAAATTGTTGGAACTTACGTACCTATCGTAGGTATAAGCCACTATGCAGTTGCATAAATATGCGTTTGTGACATAATACAACTACATAATACTATTTTTCAACAGGTTTATTTATAATATTATATCTACATAATATGTATAAGTCCATAACAACTTTAATTGTGGCTTGATGTAGATAACTCCTATATGGGTAACCACCAGGGATTTTTACCAATAAATCCTTGCCACACATACAAATCGCGTTCCGACCACAACTGTTCCTCCTCCATACAAACAAAAAAACAATAGCCATAGTTGCCGGGCTCAACTCAATAATAAAAAAAAACTACTTTAATTTGAAAACATTATTTGTGTTTCCTCGTTAGTATTGATTACAATATTTTAATTTTAAAGCAATTTATGAACAATATATTACAATATTCTAACAACTCCCTATATATAACTTTACAAATAAAGGACATTCGATACAAACCGTTTCATTGACAAAAATATACCTATTAAATATATTTTTTATAGGTAATATCGTAATGCTAATACTACAGTAATGTGATGAAAAATCTAAAAATATTAGGTATTTATGTCTGAAGTCTGAACACGAAACTAATAATAATTTACTACTCACACATTTACATGATACGCACTAAAATCCCCTTCACAATCGAAGATGTCTATAAAAGTCTGGAAAAAATAAATACTATCTCCTACAAACAGAGCACTCAAATTAGCTCAATAAAACCAGTAAGTCACGAAAGAGACATAAAGAGATACTGGAAAATTAACGTACAACAGAGGTGTAGCTAAATTGCCTACACAAACTGCCGTGTCTTTACTAAACTCTTTGATCATAATATTTTGTTATTCAAAAATAATTGTATTTTAGATTATCCTTTATCAGTCAAAGCATTATCAAAGTATTATACTATCTTATATGTATATAATTAAATTTAATAATAAACTATTATCCATTATATTTTTAACAATTAACGACCTGGACTATAAGTAGGTCCTTACCTATTTAAATAAATATGTATTATACGTATATGTATATAAAGTATAAACAATACATTCATTATTTTTTTTATAAACACTATTAATGAATTAGATAACTGATGAGAAATGAGTTTAAATACTTAAACATTTAATAATAGTTAATCATTATTCACTCTGATTTTCGTAACACAAGTTTAAATTTAATTTCTTGTTGTTCTTGCTCCAGAATTTGGAGATACCCTCTTTGAGATACCAAGTCTGGTACAGCCATTTTTCTCATTTAGAAAACTTGTGGGGTCTCCAAGACTGCACCTATAAGTCTGTGGAAAACAGATAGTAAGTTGGCGGCGATCCGCAGTGGGTGTATTTGTATTGCATCCCTACATTTTCTGAAAATAGTAGTTGAGCTTATAAAATAAGAGTTTAAATCTGTTTCGTAATAATATGATCTATATATTTTAATACACCTTTGGAGATTAGATGAGTAGTTTCTGAGTTAATTCATTACAAAAATACTTACTTTGTAAGCCCTGTGTCCTTGTTCAACCCCTCGGGAGTTTAATTAGCAAAAATACTTTCTTCGTATTTGTCTATGTATGGCTATATTGTATCAACAATATTTTTGCAACACCAAATTTCAAGTTTCTAGCCCGTATGGTTTGGGTTGAACTTTGATATGCCAGTTATTCTTTCATAAATATAGAATACAATATAGATGTGCAGATTTTTTCTTTATTTATAATAAATTAAATCGATGATGTAGTAAAATGTAATAAATATAAATTATTATAACATATAACTTATAAAATATAAGCATGTACCTAATATAGTACTGCACAACACGAATTTACATTTAATTATTAAATTATATACATATTTTTGTTTAAATTACGTTTTTAAGATCCCGACATCGATGTTGCTTCAGTCGTATCGGTATATTTTTAAATGCTTTAATGCCTTAGGGTGGGTTTCAAGTTTGGAATGCTGCAGGTATCTAGCTGTTGCAGTAATGCACTGGAAACATAATTCTAGGCGGTTATTTAACCACGCTCACCCTATTTGTGTGCTGGTATATTATGCATTTTTGTTGAATAATTTCTAATTTTCAAAAATTACTAAAAAATCGAAATTTTTAATGATTGCATAAATCATCGGGGTGTAAAGGATCACCCTGTATATATAATATATTTTAGAATCGTGTCGTTACTCATTGTATACACACACATATATATATATTATATTAATAGTAAGTATAAGTATTAGGTTCAGTACAACAGAATGGAGTGTACTATATCGATCGAGCCGTCCGCCACCTATCGGCAACAGCAGCAGTGAGAGAATGCTATACGGTGGCGAAGGCATACTTATACGGCAGTGCTATTCACGGCGCACCTACGTCTCACGCACGTCGCGTGCGCACATAATATTATAATATTATTATATAATATTTTACACAACAATATACGGTACGACGAACGCCACGGATCTTTATATTACGATGACACTGGTCGGTTTTCTGTTAATTTGCGTAGCGGTGGTGAGCTCCAGGACGTCTGCCACGGCCGCCGCTGACCCGTTCGGATGCGCCAACAGGTTCGAAGTGCACGACGATAAGATCATCCGGACGGAGGACTCGAAAAAGTTGGGCGCAAAGTTCATAGACTCGGTGGAACAGCACGACCGTGCCGGGTGTCTGGAACTGTGCTGTCGGACGTCCCGGTGTGACGTGTTCGTATTCGAAGAAAAAGTAAGACAATAAAATAATTCATCGATTATAATTAATGAATTATGAATTAATATGCGTTTTGTATATATTATTGATTACCTAAATACATAATCTACCGTCACGACTCAGCAGTTCAAAATTGCTAACTATCATCCTAACAGCTAACGTCCCCCGTTGTTAAAGGGAACTGACTCAAATTTCAGGAATGAGTCACGAATTTCCCCACAACCCTTTCACAGGGTATATTGAGGTTGTAATGCAATATTATTGTTCAGTAAATTTAAACAATTTATTAGAATCAGTTTTTTATGTTATATTCTATTATTATGTTACAAAATGAAATACATAATTAATATATATTTCAATATTTGAGTTTTAGTACAATTAATGCAGTGCCTGTAAAATGATTTTATCATTGCATTTTAATTTTATAAATCTGGTCACATTATATTAAGTAGGTATTTCATTAGTTTATTAGCCAAATTCTGACTCACCCTGTAGCAGTGTAGCATACAATTTTATTATATCTTATACCTTCATGGCTACATCTATATTAATAAAGGGCAATATGCCGTGTGTGTGTGTCAGTGCATATGAGTATGTAACTATGTAAGCGAATGTATACAAATATAGTGGTATATCGTAGTCAGGTATCTGACACAATACTTAATTGATACCTAACTATAAAATAAATTGTAAACAAATTATTCAATTTACGAATAGGCAGAACCCGCTAAACGTCATACGTAATGAATATCATATATTGTAATGGGGGGTCTAACATTTTATTTTTTAGTTATAGCCAATTCAACTTTATTTTTTAAATAACCAAACTACAGCACATTTTCTGATGCATTTTCATAACTTAACAACTTTTATGTTATTTTTTTTAAAGCTATTCATTGTGCTATCAACTAGCATACACAATCAGACCAGAAATGTAAATATTATTTTAATCAAATTAAAGAATTCTGTAGAAAATAAGAATATAAACTATTGTAAACAAGACTTTATTTCGAGTGAAACACGATTTCTTTTTAAAAATGCTAATTTTTGCCAATTTTGCCAATTTTTTTTACTATTTTTAATTTAGTAAAAATAATTTGTACATTTTTGGTTTTATTGTGTATGTTATGACTTATGGTTGATAGCACAATAAAATAGCTTGAAAATAAAATAAATTTGAAAAGTTTAAAAGTTTGAAGATACGTATAAGCAAATGTGCAGTGGGTTAGGTTTTAAAAAAAGTTGAATTGCCCAAACTAAAAAAATAAAAATTTTAGAACCTTGTTCAAAGAGATTTTTTTTGTAACTTAAGATATACTTTCATATGAAGCTGGTCTGTCACTTCTTCACCAGACACATTCTATATAAAATACTGACTTTATCTAATTTTCTATCTATAAAGTGTACTGTATGACTACACGTCTACACACGATCAGATATAATATATATTATGTACGTTTTTTGGATTAAGCTTACTTAATCTTAAATATTAAATATTATTGTATATTTACTTTATGTTTTGAATTTTGTTTTAATGACAGTCACCTGGAACATGTTACCTGTTTGAATGTGGACCATCAGATGATTTTAAATGCAAATTCACCAATCATAAGAACTATAGCAGTGCATTGATGTTGTCCAGACATGCATCAGAATTAGAAAATCAGATTAAACTCACGCAAATTGAACATGAACATGAACTCATTCAACTTAAGTAAGTAAAAATAACAAAGAAGTTCCAAGGTATTTGCGTGTTTATGCATTCCCCATGGAAATCAGGATGAATCATTGGTTCATATAGGCTATAGAGTACCAGCTGAGTACCTATCTATATTTTATAGAGTATAGACTATAGACTATCAACGAAGTTTTACACGTTTATCGACATATTTCATTTTCAATTTTGGCGGATCTCAGCTGTGATCTCTTAATATTATGATCAATGTGTATTGAGCTTTTCCAGTGTGAAAATAAAAACTTATCTTTAAAATTATATCAATATAATTCATTATTTGGTAATTTTAATGTACAACACCTGACTGTTTAATATTATTACAGTGCAATCGTAACACAAATTGGATATTATGAGTTATAATAATTTTCGCATATCTTTATCATATATATAGCTAAAGATACTCTTATCATGAGCCATGAATAATTTATTATTTTCTGGACTGATAATAAACTAATAACATAATGCATTAATTCATTATTTATAATATATATAAGAGATACTTACACTAATTTTTAACCTACATACTTCAGTACTGCATAATAAATATCAACTCTGAACATCTATTATGATTTTTGTTTTGCATTATTTAGGAAACTTACTTCATTTACAACACCTTCAACAACTGTTTTACCAATCTCGGCCATTAATAAAGAAACAGAAATAACTATCCCACAGGATAAACATTCTGAAAGTAAAATTTGACATTTAATTTTGAATATGAATAAAAACAGATACAAATATGCATTAAATCAAGGCTTAAACAATTTTTTTTTTTACAATTTTTAAAGGAACTCCTCGGTGTAGTAGATATCAATTTGAATGCAAAACATCCAGTGAATGTATTGCTATCTACAACGCATGTGATGGAATACCTCAATGCAGCGATGGTAGTGATGAAGCTCTTGAACTTGCTTGTCCGACCACTCCGAGTAAAATTATTGAATTAATAAGAATTTGTAAAAGTATTATAGATTTAAAATTTACGTTTGCACAAAAACAGGCAAACAAATACTTATGAACGATGCAAATTACGGATTGGCACAAGGAAATAATTACATACAAACATTATCAAACAAGCCAATGGATATAACGGGGCAGCAAGTAAATCAACCAGTTCAACAATACCAGTGGAAAAATCAACAACCCATATTTAGTTAGTTGAACATATATAAGCATATTATCCACCACAAAATTAACACAATTTTTCTTCAAGGTTCTAATGTCAACTATAATAATGCAAAAGTAGATAAACCTGCTTATAGCAGTAATTTTGCGTCTTCACAGTACGGAAGGGAAGGCGAAGGGCTCAAATGGACAAACCAAGATATGGTTCACCAAAACTATGGTTTGATATAGGTACATTATGGTTGTGTATAATAGAATATTTATATTAATTTATTTTACAGCAAATAATCGAATATTTACACATGTCAATGGAGGCATTTTACCTGACTATAATCGGCAGCAAAATAACTTATTACAAAATAAGTAAGATTAAAAAAAAATGGATAAAAATAATAAAAGTACAATTATGGTGCACATCTACCTTTAGAGAAAGTTTTAGGTACACCCACTCATATATAGAGAAATAATTATCTGTATTATTCTTAGTCCATTGGGTTTCAATAATTATCTAAAATGTATAATAGTCAATAGATAATGTAAGTTTCATGAAATTATTTTTGTTTTTTTAACTTTATAACTAACAATTAAAAATACTAATTACGCCCATTGGATTTTATATTTTCAATTAATATAATATTTTTTTTTACGATATAATATAATATTATAGCCATATAGGTTAATGTACGTGTATAATTTACACGTAATTTCAAAATTTTACCATTTTAAAAAATATCAATCTATTTTAGTATGCCGAGTAGAGTATACAATGCTGAACCAGCGATGAACATTGATCATAACTACAACCATTTAAACAATATGAACCATGAATTTCATCACTTTAACACGGGTAATATACATATCTAATAATATATAAAAAAAAAGCATAATGCTTGCAGCTGATAATAAAAATAATATTTTGAATGTAGGTGGTAAAACCAACTATCAAAATCAAAATAATCCAGATTATTTCTATGAAGACCTGAGACCTAAGATGGAACAGTCAAATAGTATCCCCCAACTAGTGAGTTTAAAAATAGTCATTTATAATATATTCGAAATTATAATAAACTAGCTGTCCAGCCTGGCGTTGCTTATGCCAATATTATTATTAACTGTGGACTATGTAAGTTGAAACCACTGGCCACCCTATTTAAAATAAACAAAACAATTACATTTTTTCGCCGTCTGAAAAAAATGCATGTGTGAGCAATCCTTTTTAGCTAAAGGGGTTGACAATTTTAAATAGGATTATACATACTTCTCCACGAAATACTCTGATTTAAAAATAACCACATGATTACCGGATGAGTGGTACCCGGGAATCGGGATCGTTATTGGCATAATAGCATCAAAAAATTCTCATTATCGCATTTTTATACATAGGTTTTATAATATTTCATCTTTTTATATGATGTTTGACAAATTAAAACAATATACTACCTTGACCTACCTTTGTTTATTTTAGGGTTCTGATTATCAGCGGCAAATTCAATTAGAGGTTAAAAAATCCGAAACATTATTAACCGAAAAACCAGTAATAATTCAAAAGCATAAACTCAATGAAACCTCTACTCAATCAACAACTACAGGTTAATTTAGTATTATTTTCAAAATTTTGATAATGAAACTAAACTTAATCCAATAAACTTTATTATATAGTCTGAACTTATTTATATTATTTTATAATTTTAGATTCTCATGTGCATCAAAAATTAGTACAACCACTGACAGAGGACTCTATTGTTCGTGAAGTGTATTTTGAAAGTAGCGATGATGGATATGCAATAATGCCAAATGGAGCATTCATTTCTCTTATTCTTGGTAACTACAATTTATAATTTAAAAAAAGGTGCTCTGCTGTACAGTAGGTTACAAGTGGATCACTGTATGATTGATGAGGGATATAAACCTAACCTAACCTAACGCGTTATACATCAATAACACACCGTGATACTATCATAGATTTATAGTAGTATACTTTAGAAGTTTCAAGTACCCACGAATGATAGTATACAATATTACAATCACAACAAAATAACTAAATAACCTAACCTAACCTAACCTACATTATCTAACTTATTAGTTAGATATTTGAGTATTTCCGTTATCGCCTATCGGTTATTGTATAGATAGGTATACATTTTTAATGTTGCAACATGTTCAATCCTTTCAGGTGTTATTGCATCTACCATAATGATAATTGTGATTGGTTGTCGATTAAGAGTGATGCGTAATCGTCATCGAAAAGGAAGCAAACAGTCATACGCTCATGACGCAGACTTTTTAATTAATGGCATGTATTTATAAATGTATATAATAACAAAAAACTGGAAACGCATATTGTGATTTATGGACATATTTTTTTTTTTAAATTAAGAAATAATAATATTTTATTAATACATACCTATTATTATTTAGGTACTGTTATAATTATTGTATTAAGTATTACCTAGATTTTTATAATATTAATTTTCCTAATCTGCAACATTACATGGCTTTAAAACAATAGAGTTGTTTTAAAGAATTAAGAAGATAAATAAATTAATCAAATTTGTAAATATTACGTAAGTTTATATTTTGTTTCATTTCTTTTAACTACCTGGTACCACTTATAAAATATATAATCAAATATCAATATAATTAAAAATAGTATCTCGCAGATGTATATAATAGAGTCACCATACACGACACACGTCCCGTTTTCGTATCTTTGTCCTGTTGTCCCCCGGGAAGTCTTCAGGACACTAAAATGTCCCATTTTCAGAAGGCATAGTTTCAAGTTTTCGTGATTTTTACGTATTTTGTCAAGATTTAAACTTTATGACTGGATTTTTAATATTTTTCAAATGCCATTGTAACAATATAGTAGGAACCTAGTTTTAAGATTTCAAGCTTTTTTACTCAACAAATAATGTTTTATTGACCTGAAGGGGAATGCAAAAGTGTAAAAATAAATATGCGTACCTGGTACGCATAAATATTTAATATTTTTAATTAAAACAATGTACTACATTATTAAATGATATTTAAAATAAACCCTATGTAGTCGACGATTGACGATATTACAAGACGAATGGACGAGTGACGCCGAGTAGACAGTATTATCACAGAATATTAATTATTAAATCTAATTTCATCTATTCTGTGGTATTATCATAGACCTTATCACGGTATTAGAAGATAAGGTCGGACAACTTCCCACCCTCCCGCCAATTCCAATATTTCAGCTTAATGAGGCAAAAACATTTCCCAAGTTGCCGCAAAAGCGCTGCCGGTTAGACTTAATTTGAGGTTATGAAATTAAGGAACCAGTGTTTACTGAACGACCCGCCGAAAATTCATTCAAACATCTAATAATTGAGATAGGTTCATACTTTATTATACTATAGAAATAATTAATAAAAAATTAATATAAATTAATACATATTATATATAATAATGTATAATAGTATTATTTTATTTGCGTTATATCGATTTATATTAATGATCGATAATTCTAACATTAACATAGTTTGATACAAACAATACGAACTGCGTAATGTACTAATGTTGTCTATTGTCTAGTGGCAACTATAAACCTAGATGTTCGATTTACGTTTTTTATTTCTATAAACTATATAGTTAGTATTGTAATTATAAAATGCCGAATAACATTTGTTACTTTCATTGTAACACCTCTGAGAAATTATCAGTTTTTACTATCCCTAAAGATGTACGATTAAATGAGAAATGGCTACAATCTTTAGGGATAGATTATTTTAGCCCTAATGAGGATATTTGCGAAAAAACATTTTCGGGATGATCTAATAATTAGAACAAAGGATATTGTTGACAAATTGGGAAATATTATGTGTTCAGTAAGTACCTATATTTGTCTTGCAGGCATGGATAGACACTTAGAAAGAGTGGATATTCTTTGTAGGCTCTCGTCTATGGATATGTCCACGGTCTTAGACGATATCTTCCAAGACCGTAGTTATAACAGTGGCATCTACCAGTCATTTTTTTTGTACTTGTATTATTTTTGTTACCTATATGATTAAATAAATTCACCATTTAGTTATAATTAAAAAGGTGCTCTGCTGTACAGTAGGTTACAAGTGGGTCACTGTATAATGGATGATATTAAATTTGAATTCAATGATATAATATCATTGTTTAAGAAAAACGATTCTGAGCGGAGATGGTATGTCAGTCTATAGGTTTAAGACATATTATATACATATCTCTGGTATTAAAAAAAAAATTGACCAATAATAAATTCCAAATTAATCATATCACAATATCCATTAGGTACTTATAACGCGTTATACATCAATAACACACCGTGATACTATCATAGATATATAGTAGTATACTTTAGAAGTTTCAAGTACCCACGAATGATATTATACAATCACAACAAAATAACTAAAATAGTTATTCTAGGTTTTTTTTATGTAATTTCGTCCAAATTTGAACCTAAAATGAACTTAAACATAAACTGTGCTTATATATTTTTTAGATTTTTTAGTTACAGAATTAACTACATACGTGGAATCTTGTTTTAAATTTTTAATCCTTAGCTATAAAAGTTGAACATTTTATAAATTATAAACTACAAAATATAATTATTCAATTTTAAATTGGATCTTTAAATGCTTATAAAAAAAAATTGTGAATATTTTTTTTTAATATTTTTCAACTGATATTGTAACAATATATCAGAAGCCTTGAATTAAATTTTTACACTTTTTGGCCCAACAGAAAAAACTATTTAAAGAAAACAGAAAAAACTATTTAAAGAAAAAAACTAAAAAAATTGAAAACTGAAAATGTCCGTAAACAGTTCAAAAAGAGTCAAAATATTTTCAAAATTGTATGGCGTATAGAAAATGCTAATATAAACATTCAATGAAATTTTCATGTATCTACAGTTATTCGTTTTTGAGTTACAACAAAATAAGGAAATCGCTACGCTAGAAATGGAGTGAATATCCAATGTTGTAAAAATATGAATTTCTAAAACTCATAAAAATTATATTGACTTTATTATAGACATTTTTTTTTGATAAAGGTAGATAATCTTATAAAGAATCTTGTATTCAATTTTAAAATCTTAGATTTAAAAAGAAAAATTTTTACGAATTTTCAAACTCAACATAATTTGTTAATTTTCTTGATTTTTCCATATTTTGTCATGTTTTGGACTTTAAATTTTTATAAAAAAAAACTGTGACTAGAGATTTTTAATATTTTTCATCTGCCTTTGAAACAATATACTAGTATTAAATTTTCAAGATTTCTTAACAAACAAATACAATTTTATTGTTATTTTTGGAAAAAAAACTAAAAAAAATGGGATCTGAAATGTCCGTAAAGAGCTCAAAATTAGTCAAAATTTTTGGAAAATGTTATGGTGAATAGAAAATGTGTAAAAAAACAACCAGTGAAAATTTCATGTATCTACGGTCATTTGTTTTAAAGTTACACCAAAAACCAAATTCAATTTTGTTAAAAATTGATTTTCCGTAAAAATTCCCGTTTTTCCTTATTTTTTCTTTTGTTTTTCTTTTCGCTTTTGAAAATTACTGTGAGTTTTAAATTTTGACCTCCCCAATGCACTAACGATATTTATTTTCCAATCGAAAAAGATACTGAAGTTGAAAATCGAAGCATTATTTCGACTACTTATCGTGTACACAGACACACAAAAAAAAATAAAAAATAAAAAAAAAAAATTGAATCAAAAAAAAAAACACACATCGTTGTAAAATCAATACATTCATTGTTTCACTCAGAATCTAAAATGCAAAAGTATAAAAACAATTGTTAATAGGAATGCACTGTAATAGGAATTTCAGAAATAGTTTTTATAAAAATGGAGAAAACATAAATTCATTGATATACTCGAAGTTATATCGTGATGATTATTTTAATTTAATTTAATTTTTTTATCATATTTAATTTATATGATTGAGTGTATAGTCGTATGGATTTAATATTTAAAGTTCATAATACCTACTTAATATGGTTTACACGTTTTTATTTTTTCTATAAAATATAACATAATATTAAAGTTTAAACACTGTTTTTGGCATTGTATGTTTAACTAAAAGTTATTTTAAAATTCAAGGACGTGTTATAATTAATATTGATATAAGCAATAACTAATATTGATTTATATTCTATATTCGGATCTAACTTTAAAATATATATTTGCCACCTTTGTAGTATGTATAATGATGTACCTATTTCAGTGCAAAATCTAATGTTATGCCTATATTAGTGTACACTGTACCTTCAACTGTCAAAACTTACATACCGTCAAAAAGTGATTTCCTATAGTACAAAAGATAGGTATCAAGTTTGGTTATTATTAGGATATTACAACTCAAGTCAATAATTATGTAGAAAATATAAATTAAATATATATATATTAACACATAGGTACGTGGGGATTTAATGGTTCCAACCTAAACCGAAATGTTTTCAAACAATGTTATTTTTCGACATGCAGTATTATATTATTATTTTACCTATGTAGAATACAATTTTAAATTTTTTAAATATTATTTTGTAATAATAAATTTGTATCAACTATTTGAGTCAATTTGACGTTCAAGCGTTCTACACAATACATATTATTATTTACAATTCTTGTATGGTTTATATAACCGTCCATGTCATATCCGCCAGTGTAATACGTTATTTTATGATTTATTCCGCAGTAATTCGTCGCCTTTAGTACTTGATGGCTTGAATATTTCTTGAAACATATTATAATATCCGTGTAGAGTTTATACTGCAGGTCTACGGCCATTATACTCTGTACAAATCGACCAACGAGTTTTTTTTATTTAAAATATATATTTTAACTTTTTTTTAGTCGTTAAATCTGTAAAAATTGAACTAAACGAAAAAAAAAGAAACAACATTTTTTTTTTGTTCACAAAATATGTAGTTTATTATAACAAAAAGGCCGCGAATAAGAAGAAAAAAAACCGAAATTAAAATGTGTGAACAACTTAACAATTTTGAATTTTGAAATTACATACTTAAATTTAAAGAAAAAAAAAATACGACAGACAGGATAGACACAATAAACAAGGGGGGGAGGATGCGAGATGGCGATTGGTGCAGAAATGCAGTGTTGCTGGCGCGTTGGCTCGGACGCTTGACGACCTTGCTCAGCCGGCGAGGCCAGACCGAGACGGCCACGGTTGCGACCACGGTTGACGGCGACTAGTGAGCGATGTCGTGCGCGTCGACGGTCGACGGCGTGACGACTCGTGACGACGGACGGCGAAGACCAAGACGTGGAGCCAGCGAAATGAGATTCTGTGCTGCGGATCCGGTGGGGACGATCGAAGCGGCCGATTTGGGATTACCGCTGGGCGAAAAGGCGAGAGCCAGAGGACCACAGCGCGATCCTTGACTTTCGGTAATTTTCGCCCTGGCGTTGTCCCTTCGGCCGCCGCGCGCCTCCAGACCCTGAAACGGTTAAGTTTCTGCGAGTCCGGCGACGCTGACGTCCCCGTGTTCCTAGCACTCGAATCTCCGTACCACTCACCCCTTGCCGAGGTCTCCGCCGGTGCCGTCGTACCGAGTCGCCGCCGCCGTCGTACCGAGTCGGTGTACCGTCGGGTCGGAATCGTTGCCCGCGCCGGTACGTCTACTAGCCGCCGTCCACCGCCGCCATCGCATCACGTGACCGTAACTGCGGTCCGGCGCTCGCCGAGCCGCCAGAGGGTCTCGCGCGTCATCGACGACCGAGCGCGCGACGCCAGCGAACCCGTCGCGCCGCGGGTGCAGGTCGGAGAACGTGCGCGGGTGACTTACCGCCGCGCACCGTCCGTGCTCTTTCCCGCATCCTCCCCTCCATTCCGTCGCCGTCATCTCCTGTCCGTCGTCTTCGCCCAGGGGGGGTCTTCTCCTGTGGCGGTCTCGATTTTTTCATCCGATACATCGTTTTCTGGACACAAAACATCCTCCACTTCTGCTTCAGAAACCTTCGAATTTCCGTCTTCTCTTACTGTGTCGTCGTCGTCGTCGCCGAGCGGTGCTGTCTCTGGGATCGGACCGAGCTCCGACTCTGCAGCAGACGACAGCGCGTCGCCGCTCGGCACTCCGCCACAGTGCGGGGAGATGGTCTCCTCGACGTCTTCAGCCAACTCCTCACCGTCTGCGCCTCCGAGAGTCGAGCCTTCGGGCTCCGACTCCAGGGTCTGAACGTCGCTGTAGTGGCGACCGTAACAATGGCAGACAGAAGTGGAGTGACTACAAGAACGACAACGAGATATTCGTCGGTTTCATCGGCCAAAGCGAGTTCCATCTTGTTGACCAAAATTTCTTCCACCATTTCCAGTAATATTATGTTTTTGCGGCTCGGTCGATGTTGTTAAAGTTTGTTGCCATGATTTATTTTTTGAAAGAAGATAATATTTGGGTTTGGATTTAATCGAGAATGAGCTAAATACAAATCGTTCAACACATAGACCGATCTCCGAGAAAATTTCCCAGACGACGGCGTGTGTTACTAGCCAGCTAGTATTTTTATCGTTCTCGTCGGCCCGCAGCATTAGAATTTCAAGCGCGTTAATAATAACAATTTTATTTTATTTGCAAACAATTCCCAACATATTGTAAATTATAAATACAGTAGTAAATCTGCTCACCTCCTATAAGCAAACGCTTGGGTGAGAGGCTCTTAAATTAGACATTAAATTTAAATACAAATAATAACAATTAAGTACAATTAAGTACAATATGAGATTTACTTAATACAAAATAGAGCGTTAATTTTTCTAAAGACTATTATTATTTATATCCACCGACACGGTCGTGGCGCGAGCTAAGTAAAAAAAAAAATAATAACTGCACGAAGGTGTGTGTATAGAGTATATCGAAGCAGGAGTTGCCTATTTAAACTGTGTAAAATACAGGTAAATTTGTTATACGACATAACTATTTTCTTATGCATCAATTAACTCCTAGTAAACTCCAAAACATCAGAAATATTGTGTATAACGTGCTTTTGTTAAAATCATCAAAATCTTAAATAGTACGTTTAGAAATGAAGTTATAAATAAAAAGTGCGAACTTTTTAATGGAAATTTATATTAAATTCAGAATCACGGTAGCCGTCGTCGTCGTCGTCGCATCAGCGTTGCCATTGTTACCAACAATATTACCGTTCTTATATAGATTATTGTGTAAATACTCAATATTTAATAATGATAAATATTAGTGATATTACTACAAAAACCCTTCTTAAACTACATGCAAAAATTGCTAAGTAAAAAAAAATATAAGATCTTTAAGCATTGCATTAATAAGCAATATAAAGATGTGATATCATGAATAAATACTAAGTAGGTATATTGAATTTAAATAAACTTATTTTGTTTCAATAATTTATTTATGTACTTGGCGAGGAATTATTTAGAATAGTATATAAATATTAATAATAATATTTTTTAAATAATAATAAGTTATATTTTAATAGTCCTTCGCCATTTAATTATTTTGTCCATCACACTTTGTTTCTTTTAAGAAATAATTCCTCTTCAAGTAAATAAATTATTGAAAAAATAAGTTTACTTAAATTCAATATACTTAGCATTTATTCATGATATCACATCTTTCTAGTGCTTAAAGATCTAATATTGTTTTTTACTTAGCCATTTTTACACGTAGTTTACGAAGGGTTTTTGTTGTGGTAATGTGGTATATTATATAAAGGGCCGTTAGTATACTTCAGGCCTCTAAAATTATGATCTTCCCAGGCTGTTTTTCCTCCCAGTCCGCCACTGCAATTCTGAGAGAAGATCGTCTATCAGCCTATAATGTCTTGAAATCAAATGTATCTTAAGTAGGTATTCTAAATTCAAAAAGATATGCTAAATTATTTAATCAGTTTTGCTTATGAAGCAAGTTACACAAAACTGAATAGAAAGTATGGAGTACACAAATGCAATGACTAAATCCTGTGTAAGTAACAATCAAATCCCAAAAATATACATATGTGTTAGTCTAGAACTCTTTATTATAAGAAAACAAATCACAATTTGATATATCATTATATCATAATACAAATGTTTTTAAAGGGGTATATTTAGGGGTTTATAAGATAAGATTCATTTATGCTCTTATCAATAATATATTTGAAACATTCAGTTCAGGGATGGCCATAGAAGATTAATCCAGTAGAAACAAATTATAAATCTTAGTACAATTAATGTCTATAACCCTCGTCCAAGTTGTTTAATATATCTTTTCTAGAAGTAAAATAAATATTAATGGTATAAATATAGTATAAATGGTATTAAATACTATATAATGAATATTTTTATTATAATATTATAACTGTAATAATGTGTAATTTAGTATACATTTTTTTGAAAACCTTTGCAACGACATTGCAAACATTTCAAAAAATAAAAATAGTAAAAAATAATGATATATTATATTATTTAAAACCATTGCTAACATAATTTTAAAATAAAATTATTAATATGTCTTGTCCACGGACTGAGATATACAAAAAGTTTGCAAAATTAGTTCACACATAGGTAACAGTTATATCTTTGTTTCAAAATATATATTTTTTAATGTAAAATGCCTACCTATGTTGAAAAGAAATAAAGAATAATATTATGTTATAATAATTATTATAATAAAAATTGTTTTGGTATTCATATTATTTTAGTTCAATGCTAAATCCACTAAATAGATGGCGCTGGTTGTCCGTGATGTACCATATGAAAACATTTGATTTCCACTGATAATACTCCGTTTCCAGTCGACCTGTATATCTTATTATCTTAGTCCGTGTCCTGTATATCTTAATTCGTGAGTTGTATATTATTGATTACAATATTATGATGCCGAAATGCCGAATTGGTGATCTCCGGTTTCCGATTTCCGGAGACCTGAGTCGTTGAGTCAAATACTATAGTATTTGCTATAGTACAGAAATTAAGAGATCTATATTTCTGCATTTCTGACAAAGTCTTGAGAGTTGAGACTTCTAAGTGATTTCTGTACCTACAACTTCTATATTGTTTTACATGCCGATTATATTTTATGTTTAAAACCTTTCAGTTATACATATTTGCTACTTGTTAGTTTTAGCAAATAATGGCAGCAGATAACTATCGATTCGCAGAAAGTAAGTACCTAGATGAAAATATAAATTGATGTAACTATACTCTGTCACTCAAGAGATCATGCCGCGCACCGACCAAAACTGGTTACCCACACAATACCCTGCCATAGTGGAACCGGTATCTAGAGCAAGGCTACTTGGGGTGATGCTCAGAATCAGCATGTTCTTTCGTGGGACAGGGTATAATTAGATATGATTTATTTTCAGGGTAAAAGAGATGGTTAAATTTTTTTTTAAAAACTGTTTAATACCTATCTTATATTGCACTTACTATTAGGTGGCTACATTACTTATTAGTTATTATAATTGTTTGGCCTCCCTATAAACTGTAGGTTAATAATAATAATATCAATAATAGTACGATAACTGAAAAACAACAGAAATACTTAATTATTATTAAATATTATATTATATAATAATGTGATGATATTTTAATTATTAAATGTGTAAAATAGTTGACCATGTTTTAAAATGTTAAAAGGCTTGAGTAGTAGAATAATAACGTGTAACATGACATGTATATCTACTACCAGGCCCGGATTGAGCGTGGGCCTTTAAAAATTCAAAAGATTTGGGTCGGCTCGAAGAAATTTTGAATCAGAGACTTGGGCCGGTTTAGGCGGACAGCCCGTTAAGTAATTTCTTCCCAATCCGGCGATGTCTACTACCTAGTCCAAACTATTGAAAATTACATTTTTTTTTATTAGTTTAGTCAAAAATTAATAGACATTACATTTAAGAACCTAAATATATATTTTTTTAATAGGTGATAGCTTACTATGTTATCATGGACCAATGCTGTATGAAGCAAAATGCTTAAAAAGGAGGAAGGCAAATGATGGTAAAGCACAATATTTTATTCATTACAAAGGCTGGAACAGTAAATGGGAAGAATGGGTAGATGACAATCGAGTATTGTCTGTTAATGCTGCCAACATGAACAAAATGGCATCATTAAAAGAAATACAGTAAGAAATAAATTATGAATTACTATTTATTTTGCGTATACCCTAGTTTTGTTTTTGTAAAGAGGAACACATATTTTTATGTTTGTTACTCACAAGTCAAGACGTTTATTGAAAATTTGAACAAAACATGATAGTAATTATAATAATAATTATAATAAATGTTAAAATAATAGTTGATAATAAATAAATATGGTAACATTCTTAGTAGACTATAAATGAAAATTACCCAAAAATACTCCCCTGTTAAGGACCGAAGGATATCAACAAGATTACAAAGTGTACGTTTAACAAAAAAATAAAGTGGTCACCATATGAGGTATAAATTAAATAACATCAAATATATAAACAATAAAATTGTTAAGGGGAATCTGATATAAATATCCAATTTTGGATGCCCAAAATTTAAAATTCTCAGTATAATTGAAAAGCGCAGGGAAAATCAAAACAAAAGATTAATTAAAAACGGGAATTTTTACACAAAAATGCTGTGTAATTCTAAAAAAAACTACTGTATATACTAGATACATGAAATGTTCACTGAATGATAATATTAGAATTTTCTATTCACCATAACATTTTCTAAATAATTTGACTTATGCTAAGCTATTTAGAGGTATATGAAATTATTGATTTTATTAGTTTTTTTTATATTAATGTCGATAAAATATGTTTTATTGTGTGAAGAAGAGTAGATGTTTTAATGTTTATATTTTACATACCTTGTTGCTTGAACATTGATTTGTACCACAGAAAATTAAAAATTATTTGTTAGCATGTGTAGTTGTGAAGTCATTATTTTACCTTTAAAAAGACCATTAACTTTTAGCTATACAATATCAAATGCATGTATTCGATTTAATATGAACGGTCCGCCGCACAGTCACCATCTTATTGTGCGGCGGGTATAGTAAAATTGTTTTTGTACTATGCATCGTTCATTATCATACCGGTTAATGAGAAGCGCCCATGTTTTCTTATAGTTAAGAGCAGTTGATGATAGGGTTGCTATGACTTCCACTGCTTTACTTTGTTGGCTGGTTTTCAAGTACTACATTCTATGCATATCATCAATTAATAGTTGTATTATTGTGGACTATTGACATAAATTGATCAAGGCGAGAGTACCATTCTTCAAACTTGGTATCAAATTTAGGTATATTAAATATTAATGAGTTTCATCAATTGATGTACATTGTTTTCATGCGGTAATTTTTATGCTTTAATGTCTTCTTTTGATCCGTGTTTAATATGTGTTAATAAAATTAATTTAGTATGTGCATAAATTCCACATAATTTTCTACCAATCCTTCTATGTAAATATCAATCATATCCTCTTCAGCAGTCAAATTCAATTGCTCAAACTCTTTATTATAAATTTCATGCTCTTGTTCTAACATTTCAAATTGAACTCTTGTTTGATCCAAGTCCAAGTGAGATACAGACAGATGATCTTGATGATGATAACGATCTGGCCCGGCTCAAGGGGTAGGCGACATGGGCCCACGCCTAGGGCGGCACATAAGCAGCACTTTAGTAAGAGGGCGGTATTTTCAAAATACTGATAATATTATATTATTAGGGGCGGCAAAATTTGATTTCGCCTAGTTCACTATTTTCGCTTGAGCCGGTCCTGATAACGATTGACTGATGATAATAATAATAATAATGCTAATAAATGGTAACATAATAGTTGATAATAAATAAATATAATACAATTATTACTGGACTGTATAAATTAAAATTACCCAACCACTACTAGTTATTAACAATTCCAATTTTTACATATTTAATACATAGTTCAAACACAAAAAAGAGTGGGGCAAAACGTTCTATCACTATAGTTAAAGAAGAAACAATACGCAATGTTGTAACACCTCCAATAAAAGGGAAAAAACGGAAATATTCTGAAATTTCATCAGAATTAAATCAAATAGTAAATGTTCCATCACCAACCGAACCAAAACCAAAAAAACGAGGTAATTTATTTTTAACTATATAGTTATTTTGTTCTTAGCATTTATAAAAAAAATTTCCTAATTAGGTCGTCCTCCAAAAATTGTAACTCCTAAAATTGAAGAAATTGAACTAACAAAATCAGTTGACTCAACTATAGTAACTGAAACAGAGTTAGCTGAATCAACTGAAGGAAACAAAGTGATTGACAAAGCAACTAAAGAAGAAGACACTGCAACAATAGTAGACACTGCTAAAAAAGATAACACTCCTAAAAAAGAAACCACTCTTAAAAAATATAATACTCCTAAAAAAGAAAATGCTCTTAAAAAAAATGATACTCTTAAAAAAGAAGACACTATTAACAAAGATGACACTACTAAAAAAGAAAATGCTCCAAAAAAAGAAGACGCTACTAAAAGAGAAGACACTCCTAAAAAAGATGCTCCTAAAAAAGAAGACTCACCTAAAAAAGAAGACACTCCTAAAAAAAAAGACACACCTAAAAAAGAAGCCACTCCTAAAAAAGAAGACACTCCTAAAAAAGAAGACACACCTAAAAAAGAAGACACTCCTAAAAAAGAAGACATTCCTAAAAAAGAAGACACTCCTAAAAAGATGAGAAAAAGTAAAACAATAGACGAAGCAACTGAAGAAGTTTTAGATTCTAAAAAAGTGGAAGTAAATAAAACTATTAAAGCTACTAAAGAAGAAGAAACAACTAAAACAGCTGAAGAAGAAATTAAAGTACATGAAAAAGTTGAAAAAGCTACTGAAGAACTTGAAAAAACTAAAGTTTTTGAACCATGTGAAGGAACTATAAAAATTGAAGGATCCGAAACAATTAAAGAAGATGAAGGATCTGAAACAGTTGAAAGAACTGAAGACAATGAGGAAACTGAAACTGAAAATGTTGCAGAGTTTGAATCGATTGAAGAGTTTGAAGCTGAGGAGTTTGAAGGTGAAGAGCTTGAAGGTGAAGGGCTTGAAGGTGAAGAGCTTGAAGGTGAAGAGCTTGAAGATGAAGAGCTTGAAGGTGAAGAGCTTGAAGGTGAAGAGCTTGAAGGTGAAGAGCTTGAAGGTGAAGAGCTTGAAGGTGAAGAGCTTGAAGGTGAAGAACTTGAAGGTGAAGAGCTGGATGCATATTATGGAACTGAAGAATTTGAAGAATCTACAGATGATGAGAGATTTTCAGATGAAGAATCTGATTATGAAGAAGCTGATGAAATTTTGAGAAAGGTTACTGAAAGTTATATGAGACTTTTAAAAGAAAAAGAAATTGAAGAAGCTAAAAGAAGAGAAGAAACAGATGATACATTTACTGTTCCAGCTCCAGTAGTAAAAATAACACCAAAAATCATCGTACCAGAAGTCTTAAGACGAAGAATTGCTTTTGATTTTCAAATGATTATGAACAGGAATCGAGTGCGTAACAATTTATTAGAGTACAAATTGAATAATTTAATTAGAATGGTTTGCTTCTTTTTAGATATTAAAATTTTCAAAAACACTCACTATCCAATGTTTGGTCGAAGATTTTCAAAATGCACACCCTGAATCTGAGTAACTATACAACTATTTCTTTCCATTTTACAAATATCATATTATTATTATTATTATTATTATTAATTTATATTATCGTTTTAGTGTATTTGAATACCTTGGTCTAACGCTCGTACAGTATTTCAATGTTCTTATACATGCACGATTATTGTATGCACCAGAAAGAAAGAGCCAAATACGCCAAAAGGTAATAAAAAATGCGGAACTAATGCATCATGCAGTTTAGCTTCCAAGCACTTTTATTGAAAATGTGTTGTTTCGCATGCTTAATTTTATTGTACTTTCAAAAAAAGTAGCTCAAACTTCTTTTGGATGTTACAGTCAAAAATTTCCAAAATGCTAAATTTTTTAAAAATTCGTGTTTTAAAATACCAAACATTAAAATTTTTGCTAATGTTTATTAATATAACTTACTTCACTTTATGGTATAATTTCTTACCTAAAACTAAAATTATTTGAACTTACTGTATTACTAATTGTAAAATAAATTAGTTGATTAGCAATATAAATATAGTCTTTCTTTGCTCAGAATCATTTTTTGTATGCCTAGTTTTATTATTAAGTTCAAATTGAATACATACATTGCACTGACTTCCTTAATGACGAGTAATACTCGACACTTTCTGTACAAATAAGCAGTTACCTACTTTCTACCTTTTTAATTATTAATTATAAAATTATTTGCTCCATATTATTAGTATAAATAAATTACAATACATTTTATGATGCCTTTAAGTAATAAATATATTATTGACAATATTATTACAAATAAGAACTACAGCTTAATATTGGCTGGAAACACCTGTGACCATGGAAGTACTTATATTCTATAACTATTATATTTATGTTTTTGTTAAGGCATTGAAACATTTGGACAAATATTTTAAAGATCGTGAAGAACTCGATGATGGTAATGAATTATATCCTCGAAAATATTGGCATTTGGTGTATGGACCTTCATATCTATTACGATTAATTGGTTTGTATAAACATATAATATAATTAGCTTTACTCTCAAAATCATAACAAATATTTTTACATTTAATTAATAAATACTAAAAATTACCAACAAGTATGCAACTACCATGCCCATGCCACATGCATAGACAACAATAATGAATATTGGTCTCTTATACATCCATTTTTATTTGGAGGTTCTTACTTTCCTTTATTAGTTACAACACTCAGCTCAATAGTGTATTTAGAATTTTTTCAAGGGGGAGAGGAAATACAATTTTAAATAGATATTCAGTATACACATATTATATTCATATTATTACATACATGTTGTATTATGTACAAAATTTGATCTCGGGGGGGATATGACTCAGTTTTCACCTACACAAACATTTTAATGCTCACTTTTTTAAAAACAATAAATATTAGAAATGGGCCAATACCACTTTTCAGCGATATTCAATACCATAATATATGAAATCGAAAACCGATATATTTAAAAACATTATTTTTGGCAAAAACCATGAATTGGTATCTGATAAAACCAATAATAATAATCAATGGTTCATTTTAAAGAATTAAACATTTATTTATTAAATAATGAATGTATACCTAGAAATGTTAAAAGTAAAATCAATATTTATAAAATACAGGTTTACATGCCAATATCTAGTCACAAGGACAATGCAATTAAAGAAATGTATGAGAAAATTTTGAAAATAATAGAAATAGCATAGGAAAAAGACAATTTAATTATACTAGTGGATTGGAAGCTGTTGTACACAAAAAGGCAAAACTTTAAGTAACAAGAAAGTTTGGGCTTTGAATAAGAAATCAAAGAGTTGATATACTTATAGAGTTGCTTTTAAGCAAAGGGATATGGTAATCAACAACACGATATTCTCATAACGTAAACAGAGAAGATACATTTAGACCTTAACAGGAGAAGGTAAAATGTATCAATTAGACTACATACTAGTTAGAAAAATATATAGAAATCAGATAAAACAAAGTAAAAGTTATCCAGAAGTCATTGTATTCAAACCGTAATCTTGTAATCATGGAAATAAGTTTATGGTTTAAAAAGTCTACAAGAAATAAGAAACAAAGAAAAAATGGTGTTTAGAGAAACAAAAACAAGAAACAAGAAGACAATTTTATAAGGAAGTAAATTAAATAATACAAAAAAAGAGAACAAACCAGGCAATGATGAAAAGGATATTTGGAAAATGCTTAAAATACAACCACAATAACGGCTAATAAGAATTGAGGAAATTCTATAAATCCATTGATTACCACCAATCCAGTGAAACTATTAGAAATCAGAAGAAACTATACAAATGGAAAACTGAATAAAATAGAAGAGGATTCAATAGATATGGATACATAGCAAACAGAGAAGCTAATAGAGCAAAAAAGGAATGGTTAGAAAACGTGTGTTCATCTATAGAACACAAAACTATGAAAATCATGACTACATCAGACCTGCCGTCATGGGGGAAGAGTTTGAAGTATCAATGTAGGTACTAAAACATAATAGAGCTCTGGAGGTTGATAATCTGAATGGTGAACTTCTGGTGGTCTTCGAAAGAACTGAAAATGAAGGACTGTATTTCAGTGTTTCTTAAACTGTGTTTAATCCCAGCGTTCTGTAAAACTCAAGCGGTTTTCCAAAATATTCAAAAAAATTACTTTGAAAAAATCTATATTATTATATTTTAATATTACATAATAGACAATTACAGTCTGAAATTTTACTGTATTTGCTATTTAGTATTTTAGTTTATAGTTTAGTCAGTGGCATCATTTCAGTTTTTATTAGACTAGGGCAATTTTCACTACTTTTCCGATTCAACATTTTTTTCACTCAGATTCTCATAGCATAGTGCCATAGTGGTAATTGGAGGGGGGGGGGGTAGGGTTCATGTGGTAAATGTTCTGTGATTCCAAAAAGTTTAAAAATACTGCTGTATAGTACAATCACAAATTCCTATTTAACCGGTGAAGTGCTTGAAGATTTAAAAAAATGAGTAATGATACCTATGCCAAAGAAGAAAAAGACAGACAAATGTGAAGAGTACAGAACAATAAGCCTAATATCCCATACGTCAATGATTCTAACACAAATAGTACACAGAAAAGAAAATAGAAGAGATTTTAACAAAACATCAATTTGGGTTTAGAAAGAATAGAGGAGGAACAAGGAAAGTAGTCTTGAGTCTTAAATTAATCGTATAAAAAATGTTCAGAATAAATAAACTCATGTATATCACCTTTGTAGATTTGGAAAAACATTGGACAATGTGAGATGGAAAAAAGTTTTTCATAGTATGGATAAGATAGACATATAGCCATATAGGTACAACAGAGACAAAAGACATAATTACATAAACTATAATATATTAATAAAAAATCTGTGGTAAAGGTAAATATAATGCATATATAGAAGCCAAAGTACAAAAAGGGTATGACAAGGGTATTATTATTATTATTATTATTACCCCCATTATTTAATTTAGACAGTATATGTTATAAGATATAAAGATATAGAAGGGATCAAGATTGGCATGATGCTAGTTGAGATGCTGCAATTTGTAGATTATATTGCTATGATATCAGACAGTAAAGAAAAATTAGAAAAAAAATCAAAATATTAATAATACGCTTCAACAAGAATATAATATGAATATTAATAAGGTTGTGACAAAGATACTAGCTTATAGCAGACGGAAAGTAGGCAACAACATAATCATGGACAGTAAAAAATTTTAAAATATAAATAGTTATCCATACCTTGGAAGCAAAGTCACAAGTGATGAGAAAAGTGCCACAGACATAAATTGTAGAATAGCACAATCTAAGCAAGTGTTTGAAAACTAAAAAACTATACTAATCACAAATGCAATGAATATAAAAATTAGAAAAACACTTGTATGGAGCGAATTGGTGGATAATAATAAAAGAAGGATAACAGAAGGAAAATAGAAGCTTTTGAAATATGAGTTTGGAGAACGGTATTAAAAATTTGATTATAATAAACGCACATTTTTCATCATTTCTAAATAATATTTTGATAAAGGTTTCCTAATGTAGTAACTGTAGTGAAAAAAATCACTACAAATAATAAATAATGATAAAAAATATTTTAAAGGTTGTGTACTATATTCATACTAGATAGGTATATTTTGCCCGCCTGATGCTTGGATTCTGCTCATACACACTAGTCAAGCGTTTAAAAATGACAGCTTCTGGTCTCAGGTGGGCTTTTCATGATGTATATATTGTTGTTTTTCTTTTACTCCAATAAATGATGCTGAAGTCTTACAAAAGTTGTGCACCCCTAAGCTATGGTTACACAAAAATAGAAAAAATAGGTTTTTATCATATTTTGTACTTTATCATGTAAATTTATGTAATTATGTATTTTGTTTTTCAGTTTTACTTCCTGAAATTGTGGCAACCTATATTTATTATGACGTGGATACAGCTAATCTTATTACAAAGTTTGAAGGTTTTTTGAAGTAAGTATTAATTTAAATTAATTTTCATACAAGATAAAAAATTATGGTATACTATTTGAGCTATTTATTCAATCAAAAGTTTACGTAAACATTAACTTATTATCACTTTAAGCAATTTTTACACTTATAAGTTACTTTCTAGTAACATATAGTATATATTTTTAAAAAAAATTTGATATTCAATAATGGTTTACGACAGAAGATAATCATTTATAGGCAGACACTTAGCAGTGCCATCCAACCTGGTACTTTTTAGGTATTATTATATTTTTTTTTTTCTTGATAGGTCTTTAGGCCACTGTTTTTTTTAGTTTTTTACATACATCACGGGGAAGGAAGATGGAAGTTAGTTGTTTGATGAATGGGTTATTGTGAGAGATTAATTCAGTAAAATTTAACTAATTGATCTAGGGTAAGAATTCTTAGGTCTTTATGGAGATTTTTTTTGTGAAATACCAAGGAGAGGACGTTATTAGTCGTAAGCAGATGGATTGGAATGTCTGAAGCGTTTTATACTCTGTTCAGTGAGAGTTGACATACTCGCTCGACGAAAATTGGTCGCGGCCGCGCAGGCCGGCCCATCTTTGGAGAGGTAGTGGTGGTCCTCGCCAATACCAGCTGCCTACTACAACGAGCACTGCTGATCGCCGAACACCGCCGACCAATCACAAACCGCCGGTTGCCTACTGGTGGGGGGGGGGTGTCTGAATGTTCCGGCGGCTCAGTATGCATGTGCGCAAGTGGGTCAACTCTCGCTGAACAGAGTCTAGTATTACAGGGCTTCACAGAACCCTATAACTAAATACCATATGACCAAACTGGTCGAATTATTCGCTTCTATATTATATAGTTAATTGTAGTCTTAAGTTAACTGTTTTACGCTTAAGTTTTTATGTGTGGGCTCCAGGTTAGGCGTTTATCTAGAGTTAAACCAAGATATTTAATTTAATTTGCCGTTTAAATTGATGGTTGTGTAATTTAACAGGTGGCGAGTTGATATTTTTAAGTGGAAAGGTTACTTTAATATTATTTAGAAAGATAATATTAATATATTTAGATGAATTGATGATTTTCCACCTGTTCGCCCTCAAGCTAATCATATTTAAATGTATTGAATCACTGGTTGTAATGTGGTTTTCGTTAATATTTTTTTATGAAGTAATAATTAATTGTCTATATTTAGAAAAATATTATTCAAGTTACACATTGGTGGCTGTCATTAGATCCAGTCCAGTTTAGGCAATATTTTGAAATAATTTATGGTTATATTTTGTAAACAATTTTTGTTTTCAGGTTTATTGCAGTCAATTTTGATAAATATTTTTCAAACGAAGATTATATTGTAAATACATAAGAAATTGATGTCTTTGAAAAATATATTATTACATTACGGAATAACTAAACTATTTCTAATTAAGTATTTGATAAATATAAAGTATAATTTGTGTACTGTGTACATTAAATATTTTATGACTAAAATAACAATACTTTGATTAGTTTTTAATTTTGGTCATTATGATAATAGTTATAAATTCAAACACCGGATTTATATTCTCTTAAAATACCTAAAATAGGATGCTAATATTCTCTAAAAATACTTTCAAATATTCTCATTATAATCTCTTATAAATTTAAAAAATATGCAAAAATATTCAAAAATAATCAATTAACACAATAAATTATTTGCTTTAATATGCATTTTGAAATTTTTTTTTCAACATTTTAATAGTGAGGTATTAATTAGGTATTAAAAGTTGCTTATTCTAATGGAATACTATTGCACTTTAGTAAGAGTTGGAAATGATAAAAACAAAGAATTTTTTTCTGGGTACCGTAGTATTAAAATTAAAAATAAATACAAATTTTTTCTCACAATTTACAAAATATTCAAATATGCTAAATGAGTAAAATATTCCTTAACCCATGAAATATTCTCATATGCAATAAAAAATTGTTTCTACTCATTCAGAATTGAACAAATCGTCCACATTTTTACTCTCATAAGACTGCATAGACCCAGTAACGATATGTAAAAACATATAAATCCGGTCTTTAGTTAAAATGTATGAAATAAAATAGAGTTACAATTTTTAATACCAGTGTTTTTATGATTTACCTATTTATATTTTATCCTAGTAAAATATTTAGCATGTCTGTCAGGCGTCAGCTCCTGTAAAAAAACTAATTTCATTGATAAAATATGGATCGTGTGGTGTCCTCAGCTTGGAACGTGATATTATAAGCATAAAATATAAATGGGAATATTCACTAATATTAGACCCTAGCATGCCCCTGTTATGTAGAGTAAAAGTATTAGGTACTTTTTATACTTAAGTACTAACAAAGGTAGGTACATATTATCAGTGGAGCCAAACCTTTTTTAAACCACTGGGGTAAACCTGGTTTAAGGGCACCCACCTATCTACCTTTTATATATAAAAGCAGTCACTCAAGACCCACGACCCACCCCTCCTCGATCAACTAAAAATGTTTTGGGGTATTTACCCCACTTGCCATATGTGTTCGGCGCCACTGCATATTATCATGGTTTTTCTACAAAATATGAATTTGCATTAAACTAATACATTATACTTCAGCATAGTCAAACAGGATGGGGATAATTCTCCATGACCTTCTTTTCGACATTTATAATAACTTATAATACATAAGTATAAATCGGTAACCATAAATTATATTTTTAATAATCAAATAATGTAATATTGTAAAAAATCGGCCACATACCACCCCAAGGCAAAATCATTTAAGCTCCATTGACCATTGCCAATGTGAGAAGTAAACCATGTCCTGACCAAAACATACCCAAGTTGACACATTCCATATCCATTCAACATACCTACATACATGGCTTCATGTTGCTGAGAGTCTAGATATGCCACGTGAGAAACGGTTTACTTCTTTAGTGCGCCTTACACAATAGGTATTTTAACTTATAGTTTTTCAAAACTAACTGTACCTATGCATATAAATTTTAATAAAAAAAATTAGAAAGTAATGAGCTACTTCATAAGTTTTAAAATAATTTACATTATAAACATTGAAATTTAATTTTTCTAAATAATATATAGATTTGTGATATCATTTATATGATACATTATAGGGTTTGTAATTTAGTTTTGGTTTCAAATATTGAATCTGAAAAAAAAATGGAAAAATCTATATTTTTGTACTGTATAGTATAACATGTACTTAGAACTAGAGAAAGAAGAAGGGTTGTAAAATATTAAAAATTATATATCGTGATAATTTTTCAGTTTTTATTTTAATTTGTTTCAATAAAAATAAATTTATGATCATTATTCAATAATAGCTATGAGGGAAAATATACAAATTCATATAAATTTAGGATTCAAATAAGTTGTAATATTATAACTTAATTAATAATAATTTCATTGTATGTGTACAATAGTACACAAACACTAGGTACATTACACTACACTAAATATACACAAATTGATATTCTTGACAAACCATAAGACTGGTTTGTCTTTTAATTACGCTTAGTCAATTGCAATTATTTCTTGTTCTGTTGAGACTGGCTTGAACGTTCTAATTTTTCAAAATGTTTCCGAGCATTTTTTATGTTCAATAAAGTGGCAGCTGAAGGAATATGTGGATCAGACATAATAACCATAATATATGTATTTGTTGTAAATAAATCTATAAAAGCGGCAAAATTTGAATTTCTTACTTCCATGCTTTGGAATTGAGCAGCTACTTTGCTACAACTAAGTTTAAATTGTTTTATGATGTTAGAGACTTTTTCAAATCGATGAATATCACGTTGTAGATTTCGTTGACAATGTGAAATAACAAGGAAAGTTGCACGTTCAAACAATAATACTTCATCGCCGTCCATTAGATCAGCAAACAATGTCAAGCTTTGTTCAAGTTCTTTAACATTTGGTATCAATTTATACACAATTGAAGACCAAGCTCTATATAACGTTTCATCCCAAATTGATGTCTTGAAACAAGAACAGTCAACTGGTTTGGACATATTAATTATTTCATTTTCCCGGTCTGAAAATATCTTGTCACGTTGATCTTCTTGCAACAAATCCATTTTATGAATTAGACAAAATACTTTCGCAGATGGAGAATTTTCATAAATTGCACTAAGACAAGTCTCGTAGTATCTTAAATCTCTTTTAAGTTCCTCATCTCGACTCTCCACATCAAATACGTAAATAAGCACTTCTACATTGCGAAAAATGTTCTCTCGTTGACTGACAAAATAGTTTTCCATGAATGCTTCTTGTCCTCCGCAATCCCATAAGTTAAGCACTAGGTTCCCAAGAAATCTAACATGGGAATGTTCAACGTCAATCGTTGCACCCAATCGACTAGTATCTTTGGCTATGTAGTTGGCAAAAATTATTGATCTCATGCTTGTTTTACCGGAACCGCTCTTGCCCATCAACAACACCTTTTTCTTCATTTTGGAACTTCCGCTCACTAACGATTTTCAAGAAACGCAACTATTTTTTGTTGGCCGAGACGTCGGTATTATTACCCTTACCGATTTCCAGGTCGTATGAACGGCAAGACAAAAAACGAACGAAATGCCGGTAGTTTAAATGAAATTTGATTGACAAATGACAATAAGTACAAAAGTACAAACAGTTAAAGATAATAATTAACAGTAGAATACGATAAATATTATACGAAAGAGTTTACAATTTGAAGCGTTAAAAAATTAAACCGACCCGAAAAATTAAAAAACAAATCAGTATTTACTGTATATAGTAGGTTATTGGCACACATCAAGAAATTATTATCACAGAATAAATTTATTCTGTGTTATTATTATTAATTTATTATCTATGATTTTCTGTGGTAAATCCTTAGATCATATCACGGACTAAGATATATCTTAGTCCGTGGATCATATACAATATATATGTATGTATACATACAGTATATGATCTAAGGGTAAATCCAGAGATAATAAAGATTTTTATTATCTATGGGTAAATCGTAAATGGCTTCAGTTATACTATAATTCATTGTTCTATGATACATTGATACTTGTTAGTTGTTCTGTAATCTGTAAATATAGAAAATATAATATAATTATTTATATAATATAATATTTAATTATATTATTATTTTGTTCTATGATTATATTCTACTACACTACCATACACTACTGTAATCTGTAGTTCTGAGGTATTATCATTTATCACTAATCACATTATCATAGAATTGGTGTGGTCTTATCAAAATTGGTATCACTTTTTTTTTTTATAATATGTGATAATATTCTCTTGAAAAACATATTGCTTTGATCGTCTGCTATCGACTTGTCCTTCATGGCCTCGTAGGTAAAAAAGGAACATCATAATTCATAAATCAAATTATACTAAATCGTCTCGGTCTCTGTGTTGCTGGTAAAAGTAACTTTTATTATATATTTACGATTTATATTCAATAACAATACAATATTTTATTTGCATGTTTTCTCTATTAGGTAGTATAGAATTAGTTATTGAAATAACTTTGAAGTAATTATGGCGACTGCAGAGCGTGTAAAACAGGATATGCCTCCAAAAGGTGGATATCGGAAGATCAATTTTGCTCGAGTGTTTCCTAAACCATTTGCCAGTAGTAAGTAAATATAAATATATAATTGTTACCGTTTACCAACGACATATGCATTTAATTTTTGATAGTTATCTTTAATAATTTATTTAACTCATACATGTATATTATATAGGTATATAAATATAGCAGGGGTGGCCAGTGATAAGAGTTGCTAGCCACACATTATAATTAAAAATAATATGACAGGAAAAGAAACACTAGGTACCTATTACTATATTGGTAAAAATGTTAAGACACTAGCTGCGTTTTTTCCACCCCTGATATGTAGGTAACAATAAAATTCTTCTGTATATTTTGGTCAGGTTTTTTAAATTTTATTTCTTATTCAGGGTTTTCTATTACAATTTTCCATTTATTTATTTATTCGGTATGGCTTTCGTACAATATTTATAATAATTATTAGGATAAATATATAACAGATAATATAATGATACAATTTTACATAAGTTGCAACTAATTATAAAGATAAACAATTATATATAAATAGAATTTGATGAGATAATAATATGTTGAATAGTATAGAGTATGTGGCAAACAGAAAAGATATTGACTAGTTCTGTAGATCTTTTGTGTCCAAGAATCTCATAAATTGCTCTGAGTCTATTGCAGCTCTGTGTAGTTCTTTCATACCACCTTGTAGAAGCTGATTAGAACATTCTTTGACAATGTGTATTGCAGTTTGTTTTTTATACCCACAAGTGCATTCTGGTAAAGGGTTAAACCTCCATTGTGGATCATCAAATGTTCTGTTCTTCTGTGTCCTGTATAGAGTCTATTTAATACAAACCAATCCTTTAGTTTTCATAGGTAATTTTTAAATTTTGTCAATCAAATCATTAATGCCCTCATAGGTGCTTAAATAAATTAATGAACAAATAATAATAAGTAGTAAGTAGTAAAAGAGTATACCTAAATGTTTTAAGTTAGGTACTTGTTCTACATCTAATAAATATTTAAAAAACATTATTTTTTAATGATTTATTTATTTTTATTTTAGGTAGAGCAATGGTTGGTACATATCTAGTTTGCACTGGTGTTGGCTGGTACTTATACCTTTTAAATGACCGACTAGTTGATAGATATCAAGTTGAATCACGTAGTTCACTTATTGCTATAACACCACTCTTGGATGCTGAAGCTGACAGAGAGTAAGTACTAGACATTTTTTTTTTTTTTTTGGCACTGTTAATGATAATTTTTATTTATATTATTAAATTATTACAGATATCTAAAACAACTAAGAAAAAATCGTGAAACTGAAGAAAAATTGATGAAAAATGTCAAAGGATGGAAAACAGGTACTTTATACGGTGAGCCTGTATACAAGACAGTTGATAAGAAAGAACTCATTGAACCTGGTTTAAATGAGTATTATGTACATGCTCCCGATAAAGTATTGTATGACCGAGTATACTGGCACAAATATCTATAAACACGTAAGTATTGTTTTATTATCTTAAAAATTGTATTTATTTATTCATGCCAAGAGGACATTTTAATATACAAAGTATTTTAATCTTAAAACTAAGTGTGAAATATAAACACATTAAAACTAATTTAATATAAAAGATAATCCTATCAATTCATTTAATTACATCAAGTTACTAAATGCAAGTTGGAGTTCAGTATTTTCATAGTTCTAATTTAAAGGATAAATATAATATAAGAAATCATTATGGTGTATAAGAATAAGATTATAAAATACATTTTGAGATCTGGTATTGGTATTTCTGAACTTTTCCTGAGTCTAAAGCATTGAGTGACGAGTGTATATTTTAACTTTTAAGTTAATACATATCTTAACAGTTATATAATATAATATAATAGTTATATATTATATTATCATAGTTTAATCTTTAGGTTGAAATATATGTATAGTAATTTATACTCTTAAGGTCTCCACACACTGCAGCGGTGGGAGTTAAATTCTATTGTCTTGACTCTTGGCTTTACCACCGCAGTGAGTGGTGAAATTTGTCCTGTAGCAATTCACCGCCAACTCTGCAATGTGTGGGGACCTTTATAAAATGATTATCAAGTATGAAGTTTTAAATTTAATTTGACTTTTTAATCTTTTATTTAAACAGTGTATTTTCGTAATTAATTTTAATGTTACTATTTTACAGGTATGTGTGCAATTTCTAGAAGAATGAGAGACTAAAATATTTGTCGTCTTACATGTGTTTAGATTCAATAAAACAGTGTAATTTTTTTTTTTTTTTTTAATAGTAACATTATAAAAAATAGAAATAATAATTTATGTTTGTTACATATTTTTATTCGTTGCTTAATTAATTAAAATATCTAATTGGTAAAAATTGAGGTTAAAATAACAAAATTAGTGTTTATTTAAACTAAATTGTTATCCCATATTCAATTAAAATAATAGAACCTTTGTACCATGTAAAAAGTAAATTTGTATCAAATTTATAAAAATACCTATAAATGAATTTTTAAAAAATTAAAACAAACTTATTTATATTATGTATTTTTAAAAATGGCTTACTAACATACAGTATATTGTTTCTCTTTATAGTTCAGAAAAATATTTTTAAGGTTTTCAACAGTCATTATCCTTTTACCAACAGCATTTTTTCTTTAGAAAAGTATGTTTTGGTTGAAGATATTATTATTATTATTTTGATAATATAAGTATATAAACACATAATTAATAACTGCTGTAGTTGTAACAATAATAAAAAAAAAGCGGCTAAGTGGATGTCGCTATGCTGTACAGTAGGTTTTAAGTGGGTCAATGTATAATGGATTGTATTAAACTTGAATTCAATGATATAATATTCATTGGCGGCTCATGGTATGGTGCACATGAGCACTTGAACCACCCAAAAAAATTTTAAAAAATTATTAAAAATAATTTGATTCCTATGGTAACATATAATTGAATATTATGCACATGGTCTGTAATAAAAAAAAAAAGTTTCTGCAGTTTTTTATGTTGAGAAGTGTGTCTACAAACGATTAAATTATTGGCGGAGCTCAAATTACCACGAGCCGCCACTGATAATATCATTGTATAAGAAAAACGATTCTAAGCCGAGACGGTTTATCTGTCTGGATTTTTATATTATTATTATCCCATTTTTCGTAATTTATTGGTAATTTTTCCAGTGGCATAAAATAACTATTGAGAAAATCGAAAAATGACCTCTCTAAAGTACCATCTTAATCCAATTTACTAAAATATAAGATACTATATGTTGAAATCGAAGGACTGTAATAACTAATAGTATATATTTTCTTAATATTAGTCTGTATGGTTTGATGGAAGAAAATAATGTACTATTGCACTATGCCACTATTTACCCTATACTACTACACTATTAAAGTTAATTTACTTTTCTTTAGAATAAAATAGTAATACTAATAAAATATATGAAATGTTAATTTTCTATTTAAAAAAAATGTATGATTATCACAGAGTAATAAAATACATATAATACATTAATCAGGGCCTAAAATTGTGTGCAGTAGCACACACTATGTGCAGTAGCTAATATTAAATGTGCAGTAGCAAATTTAAAAGTTTGCAGTACTCATTTTTGGTTTTATACATTTTTATTTGATTAATATTCAATATTGATTATTGAAAATTGGTAATTAGCATAATATTGTATTCGTTTAAAATCCTTAACACTAAAAATAATACCTACTACATCATATTCTGGGCGGCTTATAATATAATAATTATATTAACCTAAGCTATTTTGTTTTTAATTTTAAAATGTTCAGTCATATAGCCATATAGGTTTCAAGGAATTATATAGAAGATTGTTTTAGATTGTATTTATTATAACTAATTATTAATGAATAACAAAAACAATTATGCAATGAAGTTATATGTGGCATGTGGCATGTGCACTACTAGGTGCATTATATTAAAATATTTTGGTGTGGAATAAGGTGTGCAGTAGCAAAATATCTTAATTTTAGGCCCTGACACTAATACCTACCTATAATACAATAATAATATAAAATATTATTACATCAAACCGTGATGTATACCTATTTTCTTATATTATACATTTTCTATAATTAGGTGTATGGAATATGTTGTTAGTCTAGGCATCTGGCATCAAAGTAAATTCTAATTAATTTTTAGTTTATTTTCAAGTCGTAATAAGCACAATACTATTTTAATAGCCAGTCAGCACAGTCCACAGATTTATGAATATATAGACTTGGGGTACTTTTAATTCCTTGAAAAATAAGGTTATTATTCGACCGAAAATCGAAATTCAAAAGTGAGAATTGAGGTACTTCGACCGCTGATATCTGAAATATATCGGACCCCAAATATTCCAAATCTCGGTTTTCTTGGGTCATTAAATCCAAATATAACTGTCTAATGTCTATGCATTAAACTCGTTAATTCGTTATCACTTATCAGTGACCGGGGCACCGGTGTTGGCTAACCTGATACCTGAGGAATGCGTTTTGCAGCCTCCGACGGAGAGATAAAACCAGTGGAAATAAAGACCAATCAATAGATATGTAAACAAAAGAGTAAAACTATTCGTTTTTATCATTGAACATTTTTCGTTTTAGTTTAGTTTAGTTTGTTTTTTGTTTAATTAAACATTTTTAAATTTTCAACGTTTGTTCGTACCGTATGCCGTTCAAATTAGCAGTTCGTCTATCAGCTATGTTCAGTTCGCGCACTTTATTGAGCTGATAAACACTACTTATTTACATCGCACCGGACTTTTTTCCTAAAGTACTCCAAGATCAATTTCTGGTACATATTTATAATACAATATCAATACACAGTCACAGTTGTTTTTGAATGTTAATTTTAATTTTATTTCTTCAATATATGGCTAGGTGAACAGTTATTTTTATTTAGAAGTAGCTATAATTATGTTTAATGAACAGGTCGACTGTCATTTTGTCTGTAAAGAAACGAGACCATTAAGCTGGCAGGAGCATTGGAAGACAAGTCAGATTTGGAGGGGACTGCTCCGACCTCTCCAGATCATGTTCCTTTGGATCAACCAGGTACTTAACTTTTATGAGTGAACAATTGTTGGTAAACGTGATTGATTTTGTTTTATGTTACGTCTTGGTCCATTGTATTTCACAGTTGAAGTACTTTATGCTTTAATCATTGATATTTATGTTAAGTAGTATACTTCTTGTATCTGTTTTGATTAAATATTAATATCTTTATTCGAGTGAAAATAATTTGGCTAATATTTTAATAATATTATACATTATTATCTTAATGATAGCTTATCAGTAAAATAAAATCCATACAAATCTTATCAATCTTTCCCATTATATTTATAAACATACCTACATAATATTTTATTTATTTGTAATTATATATTGTAATGGACCATAGAGTTCAGAAACATATTATATTATAATTTATAATCACTTATCTTATATTCATCAGGTCTATGGTTGCTTACTGACTTAATTAAATAATGAATTAATAAATATAATTGTCTTGCACTGTGGACTGTGGTCTGTGTTTTACACTTGTGTGTTGTACATTTGTCACTTTGATACATAGTTAGAAAATATTATCCAACAGTACATTAGGCTATTCAAACAATAATAAATAATTTTAGTATTTGTAACCTATGGGCGATTGTAATAAATTATATTTTTATTTACAAAAACTTATTTATATAATATGTTAATATGTATGTCGTATGTGTATAGATCATTGACAAAGCAAGCTATTATAACACAAGGTACAACGATTTTAGTATACCTACCCACTTGATATATAACCGAACATATAAAAAAATTGCATACATATTACATAAAATAAAAAACATTTATCTCTTTAGCATTAAATTACTTAATGTTTATTAGTTACTTATAATTTATTTAATAATAATACATTTTCATTTTTAGCTTCTTCTAGCTATTCAAATTATTGTTGCTTATTATTATTTCATTTGTATTAGTGCTTCATTACTTCTATAATATGTACTTCTATTTTCTAATATGTATGTATATGCTAAATATCAATATCCACCCACCCAAAATTTAAAGGAGCAGTCACTCCTCTTGACCCCCTTTACCTCACCCTTGGACCATAGATAATTACTAATTGGATGACACTAACTTGTGTAACTTTAAAATATAGATATTAAACTAATAATATAATTAATTTTCTTGAATGTACCTTTATGTATAGGATTGCCAGATTTCAAACTTCATAAAACATTGTAAAAATTGCATAATGTCTAATCTATATGTAATATTAAATTAAAAAATGTATGAAAACAATTATATTATACTTTAATCTTAAGATTAGACACCCTGCCACAGGGGAACCCGTTTTGTTAGTATTATGGCGCGGAGAATGAGAACCAGAATGTTCTTGTGGAATAGTGTATAATATTTAAGCTTTACATTTTTTATTACCTACACAATTGGTAAATACAATTATATTCA